TGGCACAAAAAGAGAAGAAAACTGGTAAGTCTATAAAACTCATATTAATTTTAAATGTTTAGTCATTCTTGCAGTTTTCCATATGAGAATAAAAGTTTTCTGCGAGACAAGCAGCAAAATGTCAAATTATCTAAAAAGCCTTCAGTTTTCTTTCATAGAGAGACCCCCTTTGGAAATTTGTAGATTCACTTTTCAGATCAGAAAATGAGCATGTTTGGAAGCATATTGAGAACTGCTTTCTTCCCCCAACATGTACACAAAACAAATTATTAGCAGAAACCTCAGGGGAAAAGCTGCAGTAAATCAAGAACTGCTGAAAACACACAAAAAAAAAACAACAACCAAATCTGGAAGACAACGCTAATTTGGAGATAAAAGCGGCAGGAACTCAAACACAAACTTACCTTTCAGAGAAAAGAGTACTTGAATTTTAACTGTCAGGATGTCAAAATACTAGGTCAACTCAGTAGCTCTATCTGTAATTTAATTTTTACTATTTCAATTATTCTTCATTATTCTTCATTACTGTACTGCAGTATGAACACACAAAATGCGCATTTGAATATTTCCTCTTTCATCAACTCTTTAGAGAAATTTATCAAAATATACCAAAAATAAGAAACAAATTAACAACAAGGTTATTTTTATCAAAGTGTCTGTGCTTTAGGACTGAACTTTTTAATTTACTATTCCTCCTTTCCCTCCTATGGAACCTGCTCCTGTAACTGGAAAGTCTAATCAAAATGCTTAACAAACAAAAAAAGCTCAATGTCTAGGAAGTTCAAGGGGATATAACTGACTAGACTCTCTGCAAATCATTAATAACAACCACTGGTACCCACTGTGAAGTTATGAAGTCTCTTTCCACTGATTTTCAGGAACACACATTCAAGATCACTTACTACACAATATAAACAAATCAGGACACTTTAGATGTAAGCAGATTTACAACTATTTTAACAGCTTTGTCTAGAATCCCAGACAAGATGTCAGGAAGCCAGGGAATTACTTTGTCAACTCTCTTCTCTCTGATACTATTTATCTCATGTTATCTCATCATTAAGTGTAACCACTATCTCAACATTGAGTTTTTCAGTTTCTATCTTTTTAAAGCAGAGAATAATTTTCAGTCTGTTCACAACCCTCTTCCAGAATTAACGTGCATTGTTTTGCCTAAACGTTATTCACTCAGATAGCTTACAAAAGCCTTCAAAATTCAAAGACAAGTTTCAAGTTTAACACCTAAGAAAATTTATGATTGTCAACTTTCTCATATTCTGAGCATCTTCAGTTACCAGAGCCTGGCACATAAGCAAGTAGGAAGTATTGTGTAGCAGAGCCTGAAGCTGCATACCTTATTCATGAGCACAGTTAAAAAGATGGCCTGACACCTGAACAGCTTTAAGGAGTCAGCCAACGCAGAACCTGCACCTTCATGTAATGACAGAAGGGAAAGACTGACAGTGGGAACCCAGTACTGAGAACCTGCTCTCAGAGGACACAGGTCTAAAGTCGAAATCTTAGTCTGGGGAAAATAAGCACAGAGGGCATATAAGCAGTTTCACATGCATGATCACTGCTACTTCTGATCACCTTCAGAGATTACTGGGTTACTGCTGCTGCCAAGGAGGTGCCAAAGCAAGAAGTTTTGGAACAGACAACCTAAAGTCTGAGAACTAGCAAATTAACATTTCAAACAACTCAAATTGGCACCATCATTTCTGGCACAAATCTCCCCAACAGCAGAGCTTCTTTTTAACATTTTTATTGTGACCTAGTTAAAAACATTCCTACGGCCAAATTATTGTAAAACTTCACCCTGAAAACTTGATCTGCACAGTAACACCTAGCCAGATGCATATGAAGTCGCTTAAATAAGGCGGGGGGAAATCTGAGTGTTCCTAGAATGCCTTCTGCAATGGCTGTGAACACAGAACAGTTGTCCCAGCTTTAGTGCTTACGTTCAAAAAATGCAACTCTGCTGTTCAAATACCAAGCTAAGACACACAGCCCCCAAAGCAAAATGTGTGAGAAAAAAAAAAAGAAAAGCCAAAGTGTATATTCAGTGAATGAGAGAATATATATTATGCAGCTAGATGTAACTGTTCATAGAATAAGCAGTGCACAGCACGTTGTCACTTGCAGGTTACTGAAACACCAGTTTGTGACAAACATTATGCACGGAAGAGAACACAACAGAAAGTCCAGTCACAACAGAAAGATGCAGGCATACTCATAAAGAGGCTCACAGCAATGTAGTGATGAAAAGCAAAGACCAATAGCTTCAAGTGTCTTTCGCAGCTGAGGATTTGGACAGGCTTATTCTTATTACAAGTCAATATTAAGCAAGAGAGAGAAGAGATTTATCCCAAGATTATTTTAACTTGCAAGTATGGAAGGGATACAGAGAGAGAACAGTGGTACTGTAAACCACTCACAGAGAGGATGATGTAAAGATTTGGGCAAAGACAGCCTCAGGAATCATAGAACAAGGAAAATATATTTGTAGAAATACTGCAATACACATTATGCATGACATCTACTATTGTCAGGCAAAGAATTTCTAAGACTGACACACCAATACTAAACAGAAGCAAAGAATGAACAAGCTCTGGTTTTCTAGACACTATACACCTTTTATTTTCCCAGGTGGTGCAGACAGATGTAAAGTAAATTTTTTTCAAGCTGTGAGCTTCAACCTACCTGCAGCTTTCCCAGAGCAAAGCTGCTTTCCATTTTGGCAACCTACAAGTACTGAGCGTCAAGTTTACATCTGCTTGCCAATCAAAGAGACATCAACTCTAAAGCAGTTAGCCAGTAAAAGACTTTATCTTTGAAGAAAAATGGTAGTGACAGTTGGCGAGTTCTCTAAGGGCTTATTTTACTTCACAAAGGTATGTCTCCTATAATGCACAAATCACTTCTTTCAATTTTATTTTGCTGCATATTGAAGTTACCTTAAATAAAGAAACAGTACTTGTAACTATCTGCTTTCAAATCTGTCATGCCAACACGTCCTTCACTCAAATAGATGTTTTTGCAAAGCAGCATCTATGTTGCCTAGGGATACAGAAGAGAAATGCCTTCACAGGTCCACCAAGAAAGGCATTTGAAAGCAAAAAGCACCAATACACCTGACACTTATTAACAAACTTCATTTCTTTCACAAACTCTCCACCATGAACCTCTGAGGTCCCATAACCTTAAATAGGAGGTACAAGTCCAAAAACCCAAATGACTACCTTATAAGGATTATTTTTCCAAAAAGATTTTTTAGTGTATATTCTAAGAGTTTAGCACCAGAAATGTTTCTAATTTGTTTTAAGCTGGTTTTAAGGCCTTGTTTTACCTAGTTTAGTACTTTAAAGTGTGACACAGCAAATTTACTAATCGACATTATTTCACATGATTTTCTACTGTCACACTTGTAGCTGTTCATTTTAGGTGAGAACTGATACATATTTGGTTTACAGTATGTTTCACGTTTCCGGATAGGGAAGGATTCTGGATAAGTAGAAAGGATAACATGAACAAACTCAATCTTCAGTTCCAATCTCGCTGACCTGCACCCTCTCATTTAATTAAGAGGCTCCAGGAGCAGCCTACCACCCCCCTCCCTTGCATAACAGCAGCCTTACTAACCAAACCTGTGAGCCAACTCGAAGCAAGCAGCAGCTTGAGCTGAATTATTACTGCTAACACTGTTTACATGAGGAGACTCTGGATCTTCGAAGCTGCAAAGCACCTCAGTTTACGTGAATGAGAGTTACCACACACGAGAACCGAAATCGGGTGACAAGAGACCACACGCTGTGTAAACTTGCGGGGAACTGCCCCTCACCCCGGCACTTCCCGTTTTGGAGGAGGAGGGCAAATTATACTGAGGGTCCACGAGGAACCGCCATTTCTGACCCTTCCCGCCTCCCGGCCGCAGGACGAGGCGGTCTCGCTTGCGAGAGAGCAACAGCCGTCCGCGGGCGGTCCGTGCAGCGGGGGCTGCCTTCTCCTTTCCTTTCCTCTCCTCCCCCCATCCCACCAGGGTCGGGCCAGAGCCACCACCTCAGCCGCGCTCGCCCTGACAGCAGCGGGCAGTGACCGAGGGGCCCACCAGCGGCCCCTCCCGTCACGCCGCGAGAAGGCGAAAGCCAAGTCAAACCTAACCTAACCGAGCCCAGCCCAGCCCGCCCCGCCCCTACCTGTCCTGCCGGCGCCGCCTGCTGCTCCCCAGGGAGGCGCTGGCTCATCCTCCCGCCGCGGCGGGGCGGAGACGCCGCGGACACCGGCTCGGCCCCCGGCCCCAACGGTCGCTCCGGCAGCCAGCCCCGCCCCTCGGCCGGGGGGGGCGGGCCCCGCCCCTCGGCCGGGGGGGGCGGGGCTTCCTGCCGCGCACGCGCTTCACCGGTATCTCTTAGCGCCTGCCAGAGTTAGGGTCACCGCCGCCACTTCCGGTTCCCTCGCGGGTCGCTCGCCCGTGCGCGCGGAGGGGCGTGGCTTGCCGGCGGTCGGTGAGGAGAGCGGCAGTTAGGCGCGGGCCCGGTGAGGTGAGGGCGGGGGGGAGTACTGCGCGTTTCGGAACAGGGAGGAGGTGGTTTCCCGCCGTACGTCGCCGCGTCATCTGGCTAAAACCAGGAAGCGTCTAAGTTTCACGGGCGCTACGTGACTGTAGGGCCACAAGAGCTCCAAGTGGTGTGTATCTGCAGCTGAAATGGCAGATCTCGGGCAGAGCACGTAACTCCTGCGTGCTATCTACATGAGGAGGGTGTGAGGCGTTTCAGTGCCTGCCGAGAGACTGAGGCCAGTAAAGAGTTTACTGGCCATACATCGACAGAACAGAGCTTCCAGTAAAATACTGTGAAAGGTTTGATGAGGTTTTTGGTTTATTTTCTTTTTTTTTAAAACGGAACATGATGGAGTATCTGCAGGTTTGTGATTTAGCCCCTCTACTCTTACTCTCGTGAGACCCCATCTGGTGGGGGATGTGGACCTGCTAGAGCAAGTCCAGAGGAGGGCCGTGAAGATGCTCAGAGGGCTGCAGCACCTCTAGTATGGAACAGGCTGAGAGCTAGGATTGTTCAATCTGGAGAAGAGAAGGCTCTGAGGAGACCTTATTTCAGCCTTTCAGTACCTAAAGTGGACCTACAAGAAAGCTGGAGAGGCTTTTTACGAGAGAGCATGTAGTGACAGGACAAGGGGGAATGGCTTTAAATTAAGAGAGGGGAGATTTAGATTAGACTTTAGAAAGAAATTCTTCACTATGAGGGTGGTGAGGCACTGGCAGAGGTTGCCCAGAGAAGCTGTGGCTGCCCCATCCCTGGCAGTGTTCACGGCCGGGCTGAATGGGGCTTTGCACAACCTGGTCTAGTGGAAAGTGTTGGGGACTGGAACTAGATGATCTTTAAGGTCCTTTCCAACCCAAACCATTCTAGTATTCTAACAAAACCGAACAGTGCTTCCTGCTGTGCACACAGGGCGACGTACGAAGACAATCAGAGTAAGAACGAAAAGGATCGTTGTGAATCACAAGCCGTTACTCGCACATGCCGTTAACCCGCACTCTGGGGAGCGGAGAAGCCACAGGGGCCCTGAGCACCCCGACCCTCCTGAATGCCTCCCCCAGGCATCCCGCCCCGATGAGGTCCCTGGGAAGACACGTACCGCTGTAGCCAGGCTGCGCGGTCTTGTGGGTCATGGCTGGCCCGGGAAAGGTTTACAGCTGTTCCCGTTTTTCCCCCTGGAACGCGAACTCACACCGCTGCTGGACGCCCGTCCCGCTTCGTGGCGCGGCGGCCGGCAGACCCCGCCCGTCCCCTGGCTCGTGGCGGCGCGTTACTAGGGTGACGTGCCGCTAACGCGGGAAGGGCGGTCAGGCTGATCCGCTGCCCCGCCTTGGGGCAGGTCTGCCAATGGGGGCTGAGCTGAGGGGCCGGCCCACCAATGAGACCTGAGGGGGCGGGTCCGCGGCGGGTGTGAGTCTCGGCTGAGCGGCCGTGGCAGCGCTGGTCGGGTGCAGTAGGGAGGTATGGCAGGAGTGGGGAGGGGGTCGTGGGGCCAAACAGGTGGCGGGTCTTCACTCTCGGTCGCCCTGGGGCAAGGTGGCTCTGGTTTGTTGCCCTGGTGGTAGTCTTGCCCAGTTGTGTAGGGGTGGCGGCCTGGCGGGGCCCGGCTGAGGCCTCTCTTGCCGCCGGGCTGGGGCTGGCTAGCGCTGTGCCGTACAGCTTTCCTTCTGCCCAGTTGCGGCTTGGCCGTGTGGTTCGGGTTTATGGCCCTGTTTTCTTCGTGTTTAGTGGTCGGGTTGTCTTGGGGTATGACTTACGCCCCGGCGCACGAGCCGCTCTTCTGCGTGTCGGTGACGGACAAAATAACTTCTGCCCAGGGCTGGAAAAGCCAACGCCCTATCAGCGCTGATGTCCTTTTTCAAGATTCGTATTTCCCATGCCACGGTTAAAAAGAGGCCATCTAACTCGCACAAAATTGTAAACCCTCTTTGAACTGTACCTTCTCGCCCACAGGCTGCTTATCGATGGTTTGTATTTGAAGAAAATAGCGTGTAGTAGGAGCCCAAAGCTATGCCTAATGCAGCTGGCTTGGCTGTAGTAAAGCATAGGTTGTGTCATAAATAAACCAGGGATAGAGAGAGAATGTAGTAAAGTCATGTGAAGTTAAAATTATGTCCTGCCTGCTAGTTTAAGCATTGCCCTAAACATAATATTGCTGTTAATACTGAGTATGTGCAACTTTACACTATCTTTCTGTACTTGGAGGCAAAAATACCTGTTTCCAGTCAGAATTAAGGTCACATGTTAAATAATGATTTTAAGCTAAAGGGGGGGTCTCTTGAATTCAGTCCATTTTTTGGCTTCATTATCATGACTAACTTCCAAAATAAAAGATCTAGTGCTTCTTAAGAAACAACGTGTAGGGATTCCACACACACACTGTTGTAGTTCTTCCAAGTAAAGGCAAATGAAAGATTGTTAACGCGGTGCAATAGCTCTGATGATGATTGTGTGCTAGCTGAATCAGAAGTTATGGCACTGACTGTGTGCCTTTTTGAAAGATAAAACACTTTTTTTTTTTTTTTTTTACTTTATAATGTGTCAAGTTGAAAGATTAAACCTGGTTGCTGGTTTTATCAGTACAGCCTTTTTTCTATGCCAGGTGAGCCAACTGTACCAAAATAAAATTAAGAATAAGAGTAGACGGTTTAGAGAAAAGCTGCAAAGCATGTAATGCAACTGAAGAGACAAATGGTTTGAATATACCATGACCTAGCAGGCTAGGTGACTTAAGTACAGCTAACCAAATATGTTCTGTGGGTTTTTTTTTTTCCTAGTACCCAAGAAAGAATGCCTTAAGAAGATAACTATGGATAAGTATATTAAAGTTCGAAAAATTGGAGAAGGATCTTTTGGGAAAGCATTTCTTGTCAAAGCTAAAGAAAATGGCCAACAGTATGTTATTAAAGAAATTAACATCTCAAAGGTGAGTGATTATTGTTAATTCCTGACCCTTTTTTTTTTTTTTTCATTTCTTTTCTGAGAAAATCATTATTTTCCTTCTGTAGATGTCAAATAAGGAGAGAGAAGAATCAAGGAGAGAAGTCGCTGTATTGGCTAACATGAAACATCCAAATATTGTCCTGTACAGGGAGTCATTTGAAGGTAAGGTTAATTAACACATTAGAATGTGAAGTAACGATAGCGACTGTTTGCGCACTACTTATTGTATTTAATGTGTTTTCTCTTTAATCAGTCTTTTTAATACTTCCATTACTTGGTTCCTTTGAATTGGTTTGTTTTTTTTTTCCACAATTCCCCTGCACAGTTTAAAGTAATTGTAGTTTTTTTAAAACTGCAACAATTAAACAGAAATTTTCATGCCTCTTCCTTACATGCATCAGTTTTGGTTGATGCTTTAATGAAAGGGTTATGATGTCTTGTTTCTCCACAGCGTAAGTCTCCTTGTGTAGATCCTAACAGCTTGAATGCTTGTGTGTGTTAAATATGAGTACAGTCTGAATTTGGGTATTGATAACCTAGCAAAAGTGATTTTATATCAAAGTCTGATATCTTAGAATGCAGTCTTCAGTAATTGTAATCATATTGCTGCTTTCAGAGCTGGAAGAATAGATGTGACTTTATTTCATCAAGCTATGAAGGATGGAGAAACATAATCCCACGTTGGTTTCACTGTTGTCATGGTTTAAACCCAGTCAGACAGTTTTTTCACTCACTTCCCCCCCTTCTTGCCCTACCCCTACTCCCGGAGGGACAGAGAGGAGAATCAAAAAGAATGCAACTCCCACAGGTTGAGATAAGAGCAGTTTAGTAACTAAGGTATAACACAAATCACTACTGCTACCACCAATGATAATAATGATAAAGGAAATAACAAGGGAAGAGAGTACAACACCTCAGCACCGACTGATACCTCCTCCAACCCTGCAGTCTCCCAGCCCTTCCGGCTGACTCCCAGTTACATCCTGGGCATGACGTGCTGTGGTATGGAATACCTCTTTGGTCAGTTTGGGTCAGGTGTCCTGTCTCTGCTTCCTCCTGACTTCCCCTCCTCCCTGGCAGAGCATGAGGCTCACAAAGTCCTTGGCCAAACCAAAACATCGCTATCAGCTCTGTTCCCAGGCCGAAAGTCAAAACACAGCACTGCACCAGCTACCAAGAAGGAGAAAAATGACTGCTACTGCTGAACCCAGGACAACTGTGAATGTCTGTGGAAATGAGCAGAACAGATAAAATATTCCAACAACCTATCATATAAGTTAAAATATTATTCAAAACCCTATTACTTGAAATACTATTCAGGAACACTGCTTTCCTTCTTTTCTGCTGACTGTCTTATGTCTTTTGGAGGCTTTTGGTTTTTGTTTGTTTGTTTGTTTTTTCTACTTATTAAATTAGAATTTGATGCCATAGTTTTATTGCACAGCCAGAGTCTTCTGCTTTATAAATTCACTCTTCTGTCTTTTCTTTAATAGAACTATGTTCTTTAAGACTGCCTTTTTCTTTTCTTTGTTGTTCTTACAAGGTAGATCCTGTAATCTGTAGTTCACAAGAGTTCATGTTGGATCTTTATTGCTAAAGCACTTTGACTTTGAACATGCTGATATGGTTTATAAATGAGAATTATTTCAGCAACAGGTCTGCAAGAAATCCAGGCTCCTGTTTTTTAAAATAATACCAGTTACAAAGCTTAACCAAGATAAAAACCACTGTAAACAAAAAAAAGAAAAATCCTGGGTTTGCTGTTTTTGAAAAAAGATTTCAGAAGCATCCTGTAGGAGTGTGTTTTAAGTGACTTAGAGTTAAAATTAATTACATCATCTATTTAGGTTTTTTAAGTGCCATTGCGAGCTCATAAGAGTTTTTTCTTTTGAGTACCAGAATTGATTGATTTATGCATTTATTTAGCTCTTCTCAAAATCATTCCTAACATGTGAGTAATGTAGTTCTTGTGGTTTTGCTAACTTGCAAATTGCTTCTGCCTAATCTTTCTTTTTCATCGGTAACTGGAAAAGATTGCATTGGAGAGCAAAGCTGTAACTTTGAATTAAATATATATATATTCATACCTCCTAGTGGAAGCTTGCATAGGACTTTTGGAAGTCTCTCCAAATTTCACTCAAAAATGACAATTGTTTCCATCTGTCACTGTCTGCTGGAAGTTTAACTGGGAAATGAGCTGTATGTCTGGTGTGAGTGTTGATGATTGCCATGTTTTTGCACTTAGTATGAGTAGTAGTACCTTGTCCAGGTAAAACTCCAAGAAAGAATTAGGCAAATAGTGGCAGATATCTAAATTGGAAGTTAAGATCTCTAGGGTGGGGAATCTATGGGATGTTTGAAAGCACAAGAAGAATGGGTTTATATTGCAGTCAGTGACATATTTAATTTCATAGTGGGCATTGGTTCAGCAAATGTCATTTTTCTTCTCTCCATAATAAAATAGTCTGATGTTGCTAGAAATGGGAAACTTCTGTTTTACAACTCAGAATAATAAAAGCATTTTTGCTTCAAGTTAGAAAAAAAAAAAGACTAATAAATGGTATTTGAAGCTGCATGTGAAAAGGTTAATTTTTGATTGCTTTTCTGTGACTGCAAAGAAGATATTAGGAGAGTTATGTTAAAGCTTGTTGTAGGGTTTTTTTGTGGTTTGCTTTTGTTTGTTTGTTTGGGTTTTTTTTTGTTTGGTGGGTTTTTGGGGAGTTTTTTTAAGTAGTTTGTGTTTTATTTTACAGAAAATGGCTGTCTCTACATAGTGATGGATTACTGTGAAGGAGGAGACCTATTTAAAAAAATAAATGCCCAGAAAGGAATCTTATTCTCTGAAGATCAGGTAACAGCAAACTGCTGCTGTAGTGTTTTGGTGAATGATAATTTTTCGTAAGTTTTCAATTGTTTTGGTTCAGTTTGGTAGATATGGTTGGTTAATCTAAAAGGAGGTTCTGAAATATGATTGTTGTTGCCGTTGGTCAAAGTAGTCTCTTAAAGGGTGGGAGGGGAATGTAGCTGAAAATTATAGGTATGTTATTTGGGCTTTTCTATGTGTAAGATGCTCCAAAAAAAGTTGGATCTCTTGCAAAGTAAACCAAATCTGAGAAATGAAAAATACTGAAGGACACCATAATTATTTTTAAAACTTTTAAAATTAATATTTTTTTAAGATATAATGGCATGAGGTTTTTGTTTTGTAATACTGATTTTCATTTATCAGAATTACAATAATATTAAATATGGCAATATGAAGTTGACATGATTCAAAAGTTTATTTTTCTATTAGGAAAAAAATTAATATTGTAAGTAGACCAGCAGATTTTCTACAATTCTGGGTATAAAATCATTTGTACTGTGGAAGAATTTAATTTGGAATAAATAAGAAGTTTTTATGTGCAGTTTTGTTTTTGGTTAAGTGAAAATAGATTATGTAGGATACCTTTTTTTTTTTTTTTTTTAGTTCCAATTTGGACTCACTTTTACAGGAATACCTTAAAGTGGAAAAGTGACAATTACATCTTGCATTTTACTGTAGTTTTGACATGTGTGTACTTCTAAGCTGAGAATGTGAAACCAGTATGCACATGGAAAAGTTCTTGCCGTTGGTCACTTCTGTATTGTGTTTTCTACAGATTTACAAAAATAAAAAGGAGAATTTTGGCTCGTTTATAATATTCTAATTACATGTTGTTTGTTGCTTTTCTCATTGAAATCTGCTTTGTACCTTTTTTCAAAAGGTGGAATACTTAAAATTATTGTATGATAAAATAAGTGTTGCTGTAAACATCAGCATGGCTTTCTAAAACTGTTGATTAGCTGACTGCAACAAGGCTTGTTGTAATGGTTGCAGCAAAAGTACAATGTTTAAGATGCAAATTCCAAGTTTCAAACATTTTAGTCAATTAAATTCATATTGCAAATTTTTGTTAGGCTTATAATATGTAATGAAACTAGTAGCCTCAGACTAAATATCTAATTTTAGTAATACGCACCTTTCATTAAAATGTTTGCATTGTAGTGACAGTACTTTTACATTTTTAATTATTCTGTGGTATAAATAAAGACAGGTTTGTGGGAAGAGGGTAAAATCTTGAGTTATAAAACTGATTTTATAAGATTTTTATGTAACTGGGGAAGTTTTCAAATAAATATGCTGATGTTGCCTTTTATGTGTAGATTCTAGATTGGTTTGTACAAATCTGCTTAGCACTAAAGCACATACATGATAGAAAAATCTTGCATCGGGACATAAAGTCACAGGTATGTGGGTAACTTTTTTTTAAATTGAATTTACTTTCAAAGTGATTACATTCGTATCTTGCTAGTATAAGTTGGCAAATTATGGAAAATAGTCTTTTAACGTAAACACTTCTAACACTGGAAACACTTTTTTTCCTCAGAATTATCTGGAGGAGGTTTATATGATATATGATATAAATATACAATATGAAAAAATGGATGTGGCTATTTGATGAAGCTGCATGAATGTTATTCATGTTTCTGTGTGGGGACAGAAGAGGTCATGTGTTAGAACAGTGTTTAGTGTGTTTAATTTTGATCAAGTAGGACTTGAGTAAGTCTGGTGGTTCACAGTAGGCAGTAACACTACTACTGCTTGTGACTTCAGAGTGATTGAATAGTAGAAAACTTTATGCTTTCCAAAACATATTGAGATCAAAAAGCTTGTAATTGTATGAATGTTTTAATTCTTCTTAAAATTTGTATATCAAGAATATATTTTTAACCAAAGATGGAACAATACAACTGGGAGATTTTGGGATCGCCAGAGTTCTTAACAGGTAACTCATTTTCAATGCAGTTTTCTCTGATTTAATTTAAATTGCTTTGATCTGTGCACATCACGTGAGTTAACTAGTTAACATTCATTCTTACTTTTTTAGTACTGCAGAGCTGGCTCGCACTTGCATAGGAACACCATACTATTTGTCTCCTGAAATATGTCAGAACAAGCCTTACAACAATAAAAGGTACTAATAAGCATTTAATGAAACGTTTTTGGTCAGGAGAAGAAAGTGAGTTCTAGAAATCAGAAGCTGTTTTATGATGATGAACAGTTGTTAGTTCATCTCTTAGCCAAGAAGGTACCAAGACTCATTACACAAGAGGGACCTTAGTAGGCATGTGCAGTGCAAAGCAGTGTGATGCAGAGATGACTTAGCTTAATGCTTTGAGTTCTAGATCTAGCCGTGTTTTTAATTATGGCTCTACTTTTGCCTAGCTATTTGTGCTGCCTTAATTTATGTAGTACGAATGTGATACTGTTATGGATGAAATCACAAACACAGTAATTGAATTCTCTAAGCGTGTGCATAGATAGGCGACTCAGCTTGCTTCAGGTAACAAAGTCATACTGATTCCTTGCTTATGTTTGCTGTCCTGGCAGTAGGCTATATCTGGTAACAGTGTCCCTTACATTTTAATGTAATTAAAATGGTCATTATCAAGTTAGCCTTACACTCTACTAAGTTGCTGCATCTATTGCTGTGAGTGACTTAGACTAATTTCAGTTGGTTTCTTAAGAGATACAAATTACAGTTCCTTGCCCCTTTTATTTCTTCATGGGATTTATTATCCAATTGCATTCTAACCAAATTCTGTAATCCTGTAATGAGTGAGGATAAAGTAAGTCAGTGTTAAACAGTAAATTGACTTTGAGAATTGCATTTGCTGAATTAGGTGGTGAGTTTTGTTTGGGTTTTTCATTTAATTCAGATGAAAAGGCCTAAGTGAAATCTGAAGCCAGAATATCCTCAGCTGGTTTTCAGTTGGCCTTATTTTTGGTGGTTGAATTCTTTTTTTGTTTGGGGGATGGAAGATGTATGTACAGAGGAGATTTTGCGTACTCAAAATGCAACCTTTTCCGTTTCAAAGATAGACTTCCCAGATGTAAGTTGCTTGGCAGTATTATACCCACAACTAATTCTTGGGATACATTCTCTTCTTGATTTAGTGATATCTGGGCCCTTGGTTGCGTTCTCTATGAAATGTGCACACTTAAACATGCGGTGAGTAGAAACTTCTTGATTTCAAACAGAATATTTTTTTCCTGATATTATGCAAATGTATGTCAGTTAATGAAAGCCTTTTGTGGTGGCTGTTTAAAATAACCTTCAGCATTTCTATCTCCTCTTCCTATACTGACCAGCATTTTCCATCTCTGTTTTGGTTTACACTGATCTGTTCAGAAATCTTAGCATTGTATATTTTGTTCACGATTGTAGGTTTTTAATGAACTGTATTAGCTGAGTAAGTTGTTTGGTATTGTAATAAGTGATACTGTGGATGGTGTTCCTTTCTTTTAAGAAAGTTGACATTTTCATTGAAAATCTGAATTTGGACTGTCAGCTTTTGTGCAGGTGGATTAATGCATTTCTGTTTAGAGCAGAACTATTTCTTAGACAATATCCCAAGCTCGGAGGGTTGGCTTTTGTTTGGTTTTCATTTCGTTTTCCTCTGTGTATGTGTTGTTTTGAAGACTGTATCTTTATCATACATTTTCCAGTTAGGAAGAAAAGGAAAAAAAATATTGTTTTTAATGTTTTGTTTCAGGTTTTTTTTGGGAAGGGTATTTTTATTAAAAGAAAAAATATTATAATGACATGAAAATCAGGAGGGATTTAATGTCTAACTTACATAATTTCTTATTGCTTGCTCTTTTCTGTGGCAGCAATGCTAACAGTGTTTCCTTTCTGTGAGTTGATGGCTGTAGGTTGTTTTTTGTGAGCTGGGTGATACGCACTGTTTTTATTGTCACTAAAAATTGAAATGGTGTGCTCTGTTTGGATTCCTTTGGGTTTTACACTGAATGAATGTTAATGCTCTACATTCTTTCATTTGAAACGTGGCTTCTAAAAAGGTCAGAAGGCATGTGATGGTTGAAAGTTTTTTGGGAGAGGAGATCAAGCAGAGAATGATACAATTATTGTATTCTTAATTACATATCATTGTCAGTCTAGATCTGAAGGGAAATATTTATTTGTTAGCAAAAAGTATATCTCAATGGCATATCTATTATGATGTATTTTGAATTGGAATACTTGGCAGCAAGTTATTTTCAACTGCTGATATAAACTGTACATAGCCTTCAAAATTTGTTTTGGCATATTGAGGCAAACATACCTTTTCGGTTTTGTTTTCCTCATCATCTTTATATACAGGCTTGCGTTTGGACAGACAGTAAGTAAAATGCAGTCACTGTTTTCTTTCTTGCATGATACAGTTTGAAGCTGGTAACATGAAGAACTTGGTACTGAAGATAATATCTGGACCTTTTCCTCCTGTTTCTACGCATTATTCCTATGACCTACGTAATTTGCTCTCACAGTTATTTAAAAGGAATCCTAGGAACAGACCATCAGTAAACTCCATATTGGAGAAAAATTTTATAGCCAAACGGGTTGAAAAATTTCTCACACCACAGGTATGGAATTAGTTTTAATTCTAGTTTTGCTAAAGGCATCATAGGACTTCTCTTTATTCTAATATTAACATACAACATAAGAAATTGGAGTAATGGTATTCCCAAGAGCTTTTATAGGGATGCTTTAGGTTGAGGAAAGAGTTTTACTATAAACTGTAAAGAAAAATCTTAAATTATTTAAGTATGTAGACAGAGAAACAGCAAGGAGGAAATGAATGCAAAAGCAGACCTCACTAAGCATAAAGGATTCTAATGGATTCTAACTCAAAACTAAAGTGATTTCACAAAATGGCCATATATAGTTGGATCAGTAAGAAATTTCACAGGTCTGCTACATGTTGCGGAAAGCATCAGCTTTGTTTTACTCTAAACCTTCCTCCTTATATTCAGTCATACCACACTTATAATGGTATTATCATTTGCTGTCCTTGTATGTTTCTCTGCAAAATCACATGTGGCATTCTAGACCTGTCACATTGCATCTCAGTCATCTTTTTATAGGTTGTTTGTTATTTTACTGCATCTTTTCAACACTTTTAATTATGTTTGAGCCTTTTTAATTTCTGCTTGAGAAATGAAACTCTTTGAGAATGATACTCTTGAGGTATTGCGTTCAGAACTGCCTACAGTATTTGAGATGATGGCCTGTTAATGTTTGGTCTTTGTCTAGACTTCAAGTAAGGCTGTTTTCCACACTTTATTATGCTGTTTCGATATGCCTGATAGCATGCCCTATCTGTTGTTCTTGGATATCTCTATAGACAACTTCCCATCTTGAAAAGGATAGAGAAACTTATAAACTGCAAACATTTTTAAAGGACTGCTTTTTGACACAAGCTAACTGAGAAATTGAACTTTGGCAACTATACAGAAATCTGAAATGTACTATGCATAAAGCTATGTTGATACATTAACTTTCTTCTAGATTCTTAGCTAGCTCATAAATGAGGTAACACACCACCCAGAAGTCAGACTAAATCAATTCTTCAATTATTTGGGTAAATGCACCAAAAATGTTTGAAAACACTGAATCCAGCTTCCTATTCATGTTTGTGATACTAAATTGAATACATAAGGTTGAGTATTCATTTAAAATTAAGATACAGTAAATGCTATTAGATGCTTACTGGGAATGGCAGATTTCTCTGAAAATGTGTTTTTCTTATCTTCAGCCATAAGTACTGCTGGCTAACAACTTCAGTTCTTTGTTTAGCTTATTGCAGAAGAATTCAATCACAAAATCTTCCAGAAGTTTGCCCAACATGCTGCACCAGGTAAGTGCCAGTGCTGAAAGCACTGGCAAGACAGTGTATGTGGTTTTGTTTTTACTTGTGGTTTTGGTGTGTTCTTATACCTGATCCTAGAAGTTTCAGGAAGAAAGAGAGAGAAGCAATTTACCTCCCTCCCTTGGGGAGCTGGGTGTATGTAGGGTACAAATGATAACTATGGTCCTGTACTGTTATAGTTGAGCTTTTTCCTCTTGCAGTATGCTATGCTTCCAGAGTTTAAGGGGACAGTGAAGACTACGAATACATAAAAAAATTTATGTCTTGCTATTGAGCATTTTTTCCACTTAGTAATGAGAAATGGGTGATGAGAAATACCATTTCCTCTAAAAAGGTGAGAGGTTTTGTTAGAGATTCCTGGATTAAGCCCTGACTTCAGACCAAAGCAGTAGAATTTCTGCTACTGGTAGGAAATTAGATAGCGGTTTGTTTTGTCAATATAGTTTTACCTTGCTTCATTTTCCTGCATTAGTTTACTCTACTTTTCCTGGATTTTTTCCACTTTTTTTTATTTTATTTCCTCATAATTACTTGAAGCTGTGGCAAGTGCTTTGGTGTCTTTCAACAATGTTCTGTGTTTCACTGCTGTCATTACATTCTGTAGTAAGAGAGCCCTGCTAACACAGAATCAAATCCACAATATTGGCATATTTTCAGGAACTCTACAGGGAAAACTTTATCCCTGAAAGCCACTGAAGCTCTTCCAGAACTCATCTTCTGCTGACATTAGTGTTGTAGTCTAGTGTTGTTAGTGGTGGGGAGCCTGTCCCTCCATTCTATTAGGAAAACTTTTCCCTGTGTCCATGACAACTGTATGATAGAGCATGGAAGCTGAAATAAACTTCAGTTCTCCAGTTTGAAGTATTGAGAGTGAAAGGCTCAGGGATTGTGTTTTGCTGTTATCAAGCATGAAAGTAAGCTGTTTTGGACAACTGGGTGTATTGCACTTTGCATCAGCTGATGTGAATGAAATGTTAGCAGTTTGCACTTTTTCCTCAGCTTTGCTGTTCCAAGACCTTGGGAAAGGGAAATATGGTACACTGGCTAGCCTGGATTGCTGTAAAAGAGAGTTGGATTTTTTGTTTGTTGTTTTATTTTGTTTTTTTTTTTTCATTTTAGCTAAAAGGCCAGCTCAAGAACAAATACTGGCTTCAGTTGCACCGGCTCAGAAGATTACCAAACCTGCTGCAAAATATGGAGTGCCTTTAGTGATGAGGAAGCCTTGTGATGTACCTAAAAAGCCTAATGATAAGAAGCCATTGGCTAAATCTAGACAGGTAAGAAGCTAAATTACTTAAACTGTTTTGCTCATACCTTATTTAAATGATATGAAAATATTATGTATTCCTTTTCAAAATGTATTTTATGTGGGGACATGTATCTGCAGAAGAAGTAGTAGTCATTCAAATGCTTGGTTTGCTTTATTACTGAGGTTTTTGTTGGTTGGTTTTGTTTAGTTGGTTTTAATAGAATAATTTTCGTATACTGCTGCCTTAGCTTTGGGTTTTAATTCCACTGCTGAATTAGATGTGCTTTGCATGTTTTCATTTCCTTTGTTGGTGTTGACCACTCCAAGAAATGTGGAAAGTCTTGTCAGGTATACCAAGGTCATTGGATAAGAATATTTGCATTTTCAAAAAAACAGAAAACTTTTTTTAGTCATTTTCAGCCAGACAAATTGTGTAATTGGAAGAGGAGTTTCCCAGATTTAATTTCATAAGTTAATGAGAAATAGTCTTCTGTATACCTTCATATGGTATTTTCAATCTTTCTTGCTGTAGTTTTCTCTGTGGTACTTATTATATAAAACTCTTCTTTCCTCCTTCTCCCCATGGCACTTCAAGCAACATAATACGAAGATCACTGTGCATCTGTCAAATTTGACAGGTGGATAGAAAATTTGAGTTATAAATTACCCTTGAGGTTCACAAATTATTGGAGGTATAGGCAAAAGCTTATTGATCAGCAAGCTTTATTGGCTTGTGATACACAATTTGAAAAAGCAAGAAGGGAACAGAATTCTTGTGTGTGTTTATGAGACTGAGGTTTTTATGTTTTAAGGCTTGATTGTGCAACTGTCTCCTAGTCTGCTGCGCTTTATAATCAGTATCACTAGCCAACAGTGATCTAGCTTGCACAGAGACTCAAAGCGGCAGGATAGAGACTGAGGAAATATCCTCTTGCTGCATCTAAGAAGTCAGTAGTGCTGCAATTTTAAGACCTAGTGTGTGTGGATGGTACCTAGTGACAAGGGATAAGATGCAGGATAGAAATAATGGCTATGGTGTGATAAATTTTCTTCTCTTTGCTATTGTTCTAGAGTAGTTTGAGCTTGCAGCTCTCAACTGGCTTTTCAGAGGAGCATGTATTAATCATCTCCTGTATTTAGTGATATTAAATTGTTGTAGTTGAACTATGTTGACTTAAGTCTCTAAAGGCTTCTGTCTTCTGAAATATTTAAAGTACTCATTTGATAGGATTTTAGGTTGCCAGGAGAAAATATTCTGAAACTTTTCATGTTTCTGTGTCGGGAAAAAAAAAAAAAGGGTTATAATATTAACTATCACTGTTTTGAGAAGATTAGAATAAACAGCATGGTTTATTATGTATAGCTGCTTCTTTGTGTAAGGTATTTAATAGTGGCTGAATTCTCGTCTTCCATAACTAATGAGAACTTTGATTAGAGTTACACAAGTGGAAGAGCCTAATGATAATGTAATAAATCTGTTCTTTAAATAAGAGAATCTTAAAGTCTAGAGACCTTCAAAGACTTATAATGGGAAAACATTGTCATGCAGAATGGTATTGGTGGAGAAGAAAAATTAAGACAAAACAGTGTTAAAAATTACTGCCTTCAGCTTTTGAGGCGTAGCTTTTAGTAGAGGATGAGCAAGTACAAAAGCGTTTACTTCTATATCCTAACAGTTCTTTTCATTTAAAACCTCCTGAGTAATTATTTTAAACCACATTTTGGACATACTAAGTTGTGGGTTTAAGATGCAATTTTATTTTTTCTGATGACAGTTTTTCTTGCATTCTGGCATCATGCTGTCTAATTTGAAGTTTCACCTTTTATTCAGGCTTTTGCAATGAAGAAAATGAATCCAGGAGAAGAAAGGAGGAAAATGTTTGAGGTATCATGAAATTATCTGTTAATTTTCAAACTAAGCAAAAGCTAAGTCCACAGCAAGAATGACAAAGTAAAACCTTCAAACCTTTCCTCCTTATCTATCTTTTCCAAACATTATGTAACTGTACTTTTCTTAATCTTCATGGACATATACCAGCAGTTGGAGCACTAACCTATCTTGATAGAGATTTCACAGATCATAGCTCAGTAATAAATACCAAATTATATGCTTATTTTTCAGGAACCTTCAAAAAAGAAAAAGTTAGAATTGCCTGAAAAAGAAAAGCGCCAGAGAGATCAGGTAGACAATATTCTTGAAACTTTCTTTTTCCACCCATAGTAATTTTAATGAAATACCTTGTGGTGTGGTGTGTTATCTGTTGTGTAAGAATATGGAGTAGTTCAATTTCCCAGTTACTAAAAATGTTTAATCCTTACACATTGCAGATCAGTTTACTGAAGGCAGATGAAATGAGAAGATCAGAAAAAGAAAGGGTAAAAAATGTTTAAAATGTGTTAATAGTGAAGTTCAATTTTTACCTAGTGATTCCTTGAATTTTGTTTTCCTGTATTGTTTTCTTCTTCAGATGGAACGAATAAACAGAGCCAGGGAACAAGGATGGAGGAATGTGCTTGGTTCAGGTGGAAGTGGTGATGTTAAGGTTGGCAGCAGATGCAGAAATGTGGTGTAGTCTGATCCCCCACCTTTGGTTATCTGGCATGGTCTTCTCTTTTCAGAAAGATCTGCTCTTGGAGGTCAACTCTTGGGTCTGCCCATTATTAATCTGTGGATAATTTAAGAGAAACTGTATAACAAGATTCTCTTCCCTGGCTTTTTGGAGATAATGTGCAATTTTCATTTCAAATACTTACTAAATTTATGAATCTCTTACCTTTCTGTCAGTAATGGTTTTCATTCACCACTTTCTTTTGTCCACTTCTGCTTTTGCTACTTTTCCTGTGCTGAATCTGTGCATGAATAGCTTTTTTCACATTCAAGTTTGCTCTTGAATTTTTTTGTTGAAATCTTTTTCCAGGTTCTCATCTTATGATAATGGGCCTCTTCTCCAGTATTAAACACCTGCTTCTAAGCATTCTTTGTTATTTAGCAACACAAGTTGATGGGGGGGGCGTGCTGAGGGTGAGATGTGTTTTCTGAAAGCAGTGAACTCTTTAGCTGTTCACTTACTACATAATGTAGATAATGTACATCTGACTCCTATGACGGTTTCTTTTGTTGCCTGTTCGTGTATGTCATAGTTTCATGGGAACGTAACTGTTCTGTCTCCCGAAGTTAGTTGAACATAAAGGTCTGAGTACTTTCATCAGACAGAGCCAGTGCAGGAATTGCAAGTATTGCTGTGTAAATCTGTCTGACAATAGAAAAAGGATTAAAACACAGCTTTTTGTTGTGGTGGTAGGGAGCCTTACAAAAATAGTTGGCCTTCGCAGGTTTAGTAGGGCTTTTGTAAAAAATCTCTGAGCAATAGAGTCAACGTGAATAGATGTTTTATTTTCTGTTCGTTGCACAAGAATATGAAGATTACATTGATCACATTTCAGTAGTTGCTTATTAAATATATTATTTCAAAATAGACATCATCTTTAGATGTGTACAACACATCACATAATAAAGCATAGTTAAAAGCAGACTTAAGCATACCAGACTTTAAAGACTACCAGGTACTGACTTAATGGAAAAGTCAAAACCTGTCATTTGGTTCCTATGCCATCCTTCTCTTTTTCAGGATAAAACTGTCAGGCACCGATACAAGCTTCCATACAACACAAGTAGATGAGCATTGTCACATTTGGATGAGAGCTATGCATGTTCCTGAAAACAGTTGTATGTCTATTATATGTATCATAGAGAGCTATTGATGGGTGTTGAGCAACTGAAACTCAGAACGTGAGCTAGATTCCACTCTCAAGTATAATCTGTTCAGGAACTTCTAAGTAGGCAATTGTAAACCTGTCGCATGTGCACTCACATGCTTGAATTTATTTAAAATACTTTAGAACACACTGGAAGGAACATTGACGCTATTGTTCAAACAGATTCCATAGATTCACTACCATGGGCTATTTGACCACTTCCTTCTGGTGTAAAGGAAACAATTTTATGCATGTGCTGACAACCTTAACCTTATTTTGCCAGTTTCACATTTTCTGCATCCATCCTTGGCTACTACTCTACACAGCTGCTTGCAACATGTTTTTTATTATTTTCACATGAATATTCTGTAGGAATTCTAATTGTTTGAGCATGACAGATAATTTGCATGAAACATCTTAATTCTGGTGATAAAACCAAATTATAGGTTGGTAATGATGGTGATCCTCAGGTAGATCTGCACTTAATGCCACTTGCCAACTGTGCTTAACTGTTTCCAACTTTATGGAAAAAATGGGGTTTTGTTGCAGAACTTGTTAATGTTTTTATTCTGCCGATGAATTGAAAGTTGGAAGGGCTTGTTAAAACCAGTATTTGAGATTTCCACCCTACCCTTTTGATTTCCAGGCACCATATTATGGCGGTGGAGGTGGTGTTGGTCCGTCTCCTGTGTCTTCCAGAGGACAGTATGAACACTATCACGCTATTTTTGATCAGCTGCAACAACAACACGAAAACATTAGAGTAGCTGAAGTGAGGGAAGCCAAATTGAGGGCGAGACTACAAGGCCGGGAAGTTTTTGAGAGGTATGGCTACATTGCATTGGAAGTTGCATGTGGTCTGCTTCAGATGAAAGTAATGAAAGTTGCTGTACGTATTTATCTACAGAGGAATTCCACCTGGAATACGTCCAGGAGTTCCTAAGGGGCCTGCAGGTCATCACCATTTACCTGATGCTGGTGCAGTTAGGAAAAAAATGAAAAGATTGAAGGAGGTGTCTAAACAAGCCAATGCAAACAGGTTGGACTGTGATAATCCATATGTCCCTATGTGTTAGATTCTTGTTCTGTGTCTTGTTTCATTTAGTCGGACATGTTTCAAAATTACTTTTAGCCATTGGTACTGTGCTGTCTGTTTGTGTGTTAGTCCCCTGCAGACTACAGTTCTTCTAGAACCAATGGAAACCTTGGCTTCCTCAGTAATGGAAAAAGTAGATTACTATAAACTGTAACTAAGCTGGATCTCAGCCAGAATTCTTGGCCTAATGCAGTTGCACATAACATCATAAGCCTCCTCCTTTGCTTTTTTCATAGTTCCACTTTTTGTGTTACCTGCTAAGATGCTTCCATCTCATGCTAACTGCCTTCTCTGCATCTAAGTGTTTGACTGTCTAGCACAGAAGAGTGTCTAGAATGCTCGTGGAATTCTTAGGTACTGCTTATTTATCAGTAGAAAACTCCTAAGAGTTTTCCTCATTGAGATGCGAATGTAAAGTGTTAGAGTGGGGTGCAGCTTCCAATTTGGTGATGCTTCTTCTTTGTAGTTACTATAAACTGAGTATTTTATATATAAAAGGGTAGCAAATGAGCACTGGGTTGGTTTTGTTTTGTTTTTTTTAATTATTTCATTTTTTTAAGTAGCTTCTTCAAAATTTCTTTGGCCTTCTCCGAATCTATTAATAATTGCCCAAAGAACTGTGTCTGCACTTGTGATCAGTAAATGGGAAAATATATTTTTTTCTAGAAGTTTAATTCATGAGTGTTACTAACTTTCTTAGAGGGGCAAATTTTCTCATGCATTATTTAAACTTCTGAAAATCCAATGATGTATGCTATGTAGGAAGAAATAGATGGAGATAATATTAAGAAAAGGAAGTGGCCAAAGAAAATGTTTATTCTTCTAAACTAATTTTATTCAGTTTTATGTTTTAATATGATATATTTTGCCTTTGTAGATATTTTTCTATTTTAAAATTTATGGCAATAACACATTTAACACCAGTGCTACAGTTTTGCAAGCTACAAGGTATATTTTGGTTTTTCTAGTCATTTGGGCTCTTGTGAGCTAATTAAAATTCTTCCTGGTAAAACCCAGTACTGGAAGGTGTATTTTACCAGCTGATGTAAATGCCTATTTCCATCCTGCTCTATTTATTCTCAGTGCTTGGCGCAAAGTGCCGCAATTTTATTTTTTATTTTTTCTTCTATTTATAAACTGGATTACGTTTAGTCTTAAATTGAGGTGCTGTTTCTTAGCATTCAAAATGTGGTATTTGTACTTTATCATTATCTAGAAGCCATTTCATTCTTACAGCTACATTAGTAGTACTTCCCTCCTGCATTTTATTCTTTCAGCTAGAGATGAAATATGAAGATAAGCATTCAGGGTGTTTAGCTCACAGAATATAAATAACTGCAACTTTGTTAAGGTGAAGTAATTTAGAGTGTATGTTAAAGAAGTGGAGAAATCCTCAAGTTTCAATCTTTCTGCTGTAGAGCTATGTATATTCAACATCAGCAATCTTAAAAAAAATGTGTCTCGGACAGAAATGCAGCCCAGAAGAAATCTACTCGAAATGTTTTAGCAAAACAAGTCACTCAGCTTCAGAGTAGAGAAAACCATTTTCATAAAATTTAGTTGAAATAAGTTTTTCCTGTGAATTTGGTTTGAGAGAAATAGGTTTGGGTAGTTTTGCTTTGGACGCACCTCTCCTGAAACTGTAAGCTAAACTTCAGCTATTATGATGTGGATTCAGGCAGATTTCAGCATTCAACAGTTGAGTTCATATGCAGTTAGAGTAAAAATCTTGTGGTGAGTCAAATACAAAGATTATCAAGTGTTTGTTTCTTTACCAGTACCACCACAGGGATCATCTTGCCTTTTTGGAGGAGCTACAGTGTTTGTTCTATTTCATCAAAGTAGTTTTATCTCTATCTACCTCTTAATGAATTGAAGCATATGAAGACATTTCATTTCCTTGTTGCTTGGGAGAGTGATGAGGGCAGAGAAAAAACAAGATGCAAGGATATCTAATTAGTGTGCTAATTCATTAATGAATTACTAGCAATAGCTCCTTTTTTCCAAAACAATTCTTTCTTTAACTGTCTCAGCCTGATAGGTTATTGTTATCAGTTTATTCCAATTTCTTCCTGCCTGTTACTGGACTCCCTCAGTCAAACAGGGCTGGGGGAACTTTGGAAAGAGGATTGCCTCATCATTCTGCCTCATCATTCTGCCATCTGTTATAATATTTTACACAATTTCAGTGTTGTTTGTTTGGGATTTTTTTGTTGCTTTTTGTTTTGGTTTTGTTGTTTTTGTTTTTTTTTTTAAATTTATGTACAAGAAAGCTTTCTCAGAGTTCACTTGTAACCAAATTGTCAGAAACTGCTTCATCTACAGAACAATCCTATGTGTGTACTAGGAGACTTGCCAGATGCTCAGTTACAGTAACTTGAACATAGCCTTCTTGTCTAGCCAAGCAGGTCCTTGACCTGGGGTGGAACATGTATAAAAAGCCATCTTGTTCTAGTTCGTTCTAAGGTTGGAAAATTCCTTCACCATATCTTTAAAAAGAAACAAAAATCCCTCCAAGTTACACACACGCACACCCCCAAGGAGTTGCTTGAACACTCTGAGAATACTAGTGATGTACTAATTATTTAAGTGCTAGAAGCCTTAGTCCAAACATAGGTCAGTCTTGAGAGACTTCTGTAGTATTGACCTTACTGATTGGTTCATGTGATGAATTCTTGCTCGTTGATGAAGGAAACCTGGAAGAAGTAAGTCTTTTTTTCACAAATGATGACAACAATGAAACAAGCTGAGACATTTTCAGAAATAATCACACTGAGATTGTGGTTTGGCTTTTGTTTTGGGCTTGATGACCAGGGTCTAGAAGGATAACATGATGTTGTTTGTTTGTTAAAATTGTTCTTCTAACTTATTTGAGCCTATTTTCCTCCATTTTGTGGAAGTCTGACTTGTATCTTGGCTGATGAAAGGCATTTTTTGAAGATGCCTTACTTATAGAAAGTTACTCTTTTTTTGTGTGTGTCCTAGTTAGAATAAATGCAGGTGGGGGTTGAGTCTTGTATTTCATAGCCTTTCATCTTGCTATGTGTTGTAATTACTCAGGCATAAAGGATGGATAGCTGCAGATAGAGCAAAGCAAGTTGAAGAATTCTGGCAACGAAAGAGAGAAGCCATGGAAAACAAAGCTCGAGCTGAGGGACATATGGTATGGAATCTGGTCTTTCTATATGTATTACTGTTTCAGCATGCTCTATGAATCTTTGAAGTAGCATAATAACTATAAAATGCTGACTAAATAGTTTCTTTAAGTATTAAATATAAAATAATGGGAGGTAAGTTTTTTTGCATTGTTACTGATTTTATTAAAATGTTACTGTGCAGTACATTTCTTATTACTGTAAACTTACTAAGAAAGGAAATTACTTTGGGTTTGCATGTGTCTAACTTGATATTGTGAATTTTAGAAAGTCATTTACTTTTTTTTCTGTTCATAGCTTTAAAGTTTTGATTAAAATTAAACTTCATGTATCATTCAGTAGCTTGAACCTAAAATGAATTTTGATTAAACTGATGCATTAGTGTGTTCTACAAAAACCTTCTGTTAATTAAGAAGGTATAAAGACACACATCTTTATCAAGGTTGATATTTCTAAAACCCGTACTCTTTAGAGATTAGCTAGTGGACAGTGTCACAAAATGTTCTTTTCTCTTGTGCTTGCAATTCTAAATTCAGTATTCCTTTAGGAAGTTTGTTTTGCAGAAAAAATATCTTGGAAATGACTCATTCGCACTAGGACTTTGTGTGGTTTAACTGGGTGTTTTGTTAATGTAGAGAGTTCTGCTTTTTGAGTGCTTCTCCACACTGTTCTTATAGAATGCAGTAGCAATACCACTGTTAGTCGCTGAAATTAAACTGACAATGCTGGCGGCATTCCAGTGAGATGAGACCAACCTCAGATGTATAGTAGTATCTTCTGAGTTATATCTGAGTATCGGATCATGATTTACAGCCAGGTATTTGTTTCAGGGATTATTTCACTTACAGTAAGCAATTCTTAGGTACTTTGATTCACTGCTTTGATGGTGAAACATTCTGATAATAGTATAGATGTTGCAGAGAACGAATCTTCCACTTCAAAACTGGTTCTGTTGGGTTTTTTTTAAACTTCCAACACCAGTAAATTTGAAAAAATAATTCTTTTAAAGACTGCCTTGTTAGGTGAGTCCTTAGTAGTACCTGCTTCCATTTTGTTCTTGACTTTGTTGGCATGAATATGAATGTACAACATCGATTAATGCAATATACTCAAGTATTCAGGTTAATGTTTCTTGTGTTTCTCCAATATATCCAACTGAGCCCACATGTTTTAGTTTTACCTGGCTGCTGTAATAAAACGGGGAGCTTACTGACCAGTTGTAAATTCCAGATGTTTGACACAGCTGGTAGCCAGGGTTCCAAATTCATGTACTGTCATTTGCCATTGATAGAATGAAGTTGCTAAGAACTTCTGCTATTTGTGCAGGAAAATGGTTTGACTAGTTGGCAGTAGTTTCATGTAGGGATGGGCCTATTGCCCAGACAGTGATGATCTGACAGGAGAAATTAGTAGTAATCATCAATTAATATGCAGCTCTTTGTTGTAAAAAGACATTTAAGCCAAATAACTTGCACTGAGCTACCCTGCTTCTGTTGAATATAGTTACTATCAATTTTAATTTTCAATTGGCAGTCTAAAGTTTGACTCAGTTGAGTTAATGATACTTTCAGTCATCTATTCTTGAGACAGCTGGTGATTTAATTTGCTATTCACTGTAGCTGTGTGGCATTGCAGGACATGGAGTCTTGGTATTTGAAAACTTTTAATATAGGCAGATGAGTAAAAGTTTACAATCTACAGAAAGAAAATCAGTTCCAAAAAAAACCCCAAAATCTTCCAGTTTCTTTCTTTTTAAGAGCAGTGATATAAATCTCCATCAGTTTGATGAAAATACCTAAACCAACTTGAATGCTAAAATGAAGTTGACCTCAGCAGTGCTAGTTAGCTTTTGTAAAACTCAGGAACATGCATTAAAAATAAAAAGTAAACCCAAATACTTTCTAAAAAGGTGAATATGGGAAATACTGCTTTCCATCTTGTATGATTTGATCGATTTGGTTTCTTATAAGTGAACAGTTGTTGGATAAAGCAGGTAGTTTTACTGCTCCAGCCACCTTAAATTTGATACCATTAAATGGCAAACAGGGTACACTGCAAAACGTGGCAGATATCTATGGAGGCAGGCCTTTTTCTGCAAGAGGAAGGAAATCCAGAAACAAGGAGGAAGAGGTATGCTTGCCGCATGTTTGCCACTTTGCTCATCACACAGATAGCACTGTTTTGACCTTGACTGTGCCTAGTTTCCCTGCATGGTTCCATCTGTGTAACAAAATAAAAGGACTTAATAAATCCCTAGGAAATACTTTACCATTGAAGTTCTAGAGTTCAGGTGTGTTTGTGTTGGTGTGTTTTGGGGTTTTCATTTTTTTTGATACATCAAGTTGTCTACATCAGTCTGTCTCAGAAAGCTTCTTGAATGTGCGTACATACAGATATGACTTGGTATATCTTAACCCTGTTGTGATAAATATAACCATTCTTAGCCTTCAATGATAGAAAATGAAATTACAGCTTCAAATTGGGAAACATAAGTTCCAGTTTTCTTTATTTTCATTAGATGAGGGTTTTTCCAGAGATTATTAAATGCTAATAGGGTGAGGGTAATAGTGTGGGGTTGGGTTTTATCCATCCATCTTGGTTTTTTTTTGTGGAATTTTATGTATTTTTAAGTTAACCATACTAGGGACAGTTTCAGTGTAATTGAAACTTAATTCCATTTTTTCCCTTAGGAGTATTTGGCAAGATTAAGACAGATTCGGCTACAAAATTTTAATGAACGTCAACAGATTAGAGCTAAACTTCGTGGAGAAAAGGTTTGTTTTGAAAAATAATCTTAAATACTTATGGAAGGTGGCTGTGGGATGTACTTTTACTTCTGAAGGAAGACTTTTCTCATCAGCAGTTTGAGATGTATAGACATATATTTTTGACATTTGATTCTGTTCCACACTTCCGTCTCTTCTTGCAGAATATGCAAAATCTGTTTGTTATTTCAGTGATGGGGGTACAACTTCAGTGCTTGTAAACTAACAGTGTTTTAAAACCAAGACAACAGAAGGCTACATCTGAATTTTACACTTAAATTTCTCATCAAACCAGCACATTTATATTTATTTGCTTTTAGTTAAAGGAACTTCTTTAGAATTCACTTTTTGACAATGCTCACACAGAACGCGTATGAAACGATTATTTTCATGTATTCTGTAGCTGGTGTATTGAAGTTGGACACTGCTGGCATGGGCTCAGTTTAATTAATAGACTTTTATCAAACCTCACTCTTCTGAAGTATGTTCGTAATAAAATCAAAATAATATTTTCACAAAGTACATTCAGAACAAGCACTACTTAAGGTGTCAAATGAATAATCCAGGGCAAACTTGGAAGCAATCCATTTACTTGTTTAAAAAGGTTTCATTTGAGGGCCAATCTGCATAGTAAATACAGTCCAGAGTTTGTTTCCATCTTTTCATTAAATTGCTATATGATCTTGTACTCCTGTTTGTTCTTCCCCTTCCCATCTGTTCGTCTTCATATTGAGTGTTTGATTTCCTCAAGTGATTACCTGTTTGTATATGCACATTCTACTTTGTGATTTCAAATAAGAGAAATGTTCCTGCCCTGCTTTCCCCTTGCACCTTTAAGCACCCATATGTATCTTATGCATAGTAAGTAGACACAGAATGCAAGAGCATGCCCAGTACTATCCTGTTTCTTTGGATCACTGTCCCAACTAAACAGAGTTCTGCCTTGCTATAGGTTCTGGAGGGTTTTCTAATGCTAGAATAATCTGGGGGTTTTGTGTATTACTGACTTTTTGTGTATGTATCTCACTGATGAGATGCAAGAGAGTCAAACTCAATCCTTTGATTGAGGTGCAAAAATTCTTCAGTTTATCAAGGAGGAACCCATGTCCCTTTAAATGTAAAAGGAATGATTGGGAGCAAGAGTCACGTAAGTTTCTACCTGAGAAGACTGTATAAACTTCATAAGATAGCCTAGTGGCTAAGTCTGTCATGGGACCAACATGGGCTGTTCTCCTAAGTTTGTCTTATGGAGCATGAGAAAAATCAAGGTGTTGCGAGTCTATGAAATTACTGTAGAGGCTGTGAAGTTTATCACTAGTACTGACTCACATAAAATGCTAAACTGATGCACCATAAACCCATGCTTAATCTTAATTTCCCTCTAAAGAGGCCTTCTAAATAGTTTTTATTTTAAATAAAAGGTATGCACAAGTTGGTCATGAGCAATAAAAACCTGTCAGAACCTCTGTGTAGCTCTGTCGGTCTGTCCTGTAAGTAGGAATATGCAGAAGCCGTGGAAAGAAATAAGAGAGATTGAAAACAGAGATTTCAGAGGTAGATCTTATATAGTCTTGTTACCGTATTCCTCCCTCACCCATGCCACCTTCTTTGGAGCACATACAGTGGAAGAAGCTGGAATTCCAAAGCATCAGACTTTCTTGTACACCTTATCTGCAGGAAGAAGCTGGAATTCCAAAGCATCAGACTTTCTTGTACACCTTATCTTCAGGGCATGCAACAGTAATGAGGGGTGGCAGGTGAGAGCCCAGCATTGTTAGGTCGTTTCCTTTGCAACATTAGGCACATTACTTTATTCCTGGCTTGTAAAAGCTTCGTATTTTTTTAAAACTAGCACCCCAACCCACACCCCATCAGAACTAACCAAATAAATTAAAAACTCCCACAAATCTCAAAAGACGAAGTTCTGTCCAAGTAGACATTCCATTTGGGTGAGGAGTTACCTTGTGAAATCATGACCTGTGTTTGTCAAAGTCAGTCTAAATGATCTAAGTAGACGCTTAATCACTCAGCTTTTAAACACAGGAATTGGTGATAATTCTCTGAGGACTCTTACTTTGTAGAATGAAGCTGCCAGTTCTGATGGACAAGAGTCAAGCGAGGAAGCAGAACTGAAACGCAAAAAGATAGAAGTACAGAAGGTATTTGTGGGGCGGGAGGAGATAGAACTTGCTGTTTTCAAATGTGTTTTCTATCTCATGAAGTTTCTTACATTTTATTTTGCTATGAGTAGTATTGTAGTTTGTTCATACATCTGCTACAAGAGGTTTTTATTTTAGCTATATCAAGGTAACAACTCTTTTTTTATCTCAGTAATTTTAAAATATGTTGTGATACAGTATAGCAAGTTTATGGATTTTTTTCCTTAAGCTTAAGGAATAAATATCTGCCTTTAAGATTTATCTCTAGGTTAGCTGCAGTCCTAAAGGCAATTTCGTATGGCTTTTATAGAGAGGTTTGATACTGAAAGGCAAAGTAAAATGTACCTTAAATAACAACTGTATTTGATTTAAAAGAGTAAAGGAAGGCAAAACTGCTAACATGTGCTGGCATAGGCTACATGTGGTTTGGAACGTGAGCTGTATACCCCTGTGGTGAAGTATATTTAAAGCAAAGGTGTTTCACAGAAATTCTATGTTTGATTGGAACTTTGTTTCCTGTGGTGTTCTTACATCAGTAACTATCTCTACCATACAATCCATAGCAAGTATTAATCTATTCTATGATTATTTTTTTTCCACCCCATCATCTTTAAAGTGCGATGTAAAAACCAGCTAACCTTATGCCTAACCTTAAAACTATAGGTGAAAAGGTAACTGAAGCTTTTTGTGTTTATATTGAGTAAGTTTGTGAAGTTTAAGCTGAATATTTAATATTTTGTGATTAATGCATTTGGCTTCAAAACAAATTTTGTGTAGAGGTTCTAATTTTACATTACTGTTTTTAAGATTAGTATGTACACTAAAAGTAAAACCATGCAAATCAGGAACTGTAAGTAAATTTTGAGGAACTGCCATTATCTTCAACATAAAAGATCAGTTGTTACACTTGTGTGGCGAGTTCAGTTGTCGGTGGAGTCCTCTCTTCACAATCTCTGCAGTAATAAGAGAGAAAGTACGATGGAGTAATCCAAGAATGTGTCTCTTTTTGGAATGTTCCATGGAATGGGGTACTAAAGCTTTTATGATTTCAAGTTGGTTGGTTTTGCTTGTTTGTTTACTATAGGCCCAAACAAAAGCTCGAGCTGCAGTTCTGAAAGAGCAGTTAGAGTGGAAGAGAAAGGAAGCATATGAAAGAGAGAAAAGAGCCTGGGAAGAACATGTAAGAAAATAAATCTGTTATATAGTTATATAAGTCTAAGTATGTAGTGCTATATCTTCGTATAACTAAAATCCTATCCTGTGGTTTTTTCATGCTTACATAATTGTGTTTTTTCTCTGAAACTGAGAGAGCATTTGTCAATCAGAATTCCCCCATTAGAAGCCTAATCTTAAGTATACTTGAATGAAGAATTTGGTTCAAGAATTTAAGAACATCAAACCTCAGAATCATTAGGATCACCTTAAATGTTTTATTAATGATCTGTAGGTTAGCAAAGTGTACTCCATCATATGATCATAGAATCAACCAGGTTGGAAAAGACCTTTTAAGATCATCAAATCCAGCTGTTACCCCAGGACTGCCAAGTCCACCATTAAACCATATCATTAAGGGCCTCATTCACACATTTTTTTTTTAACACTTCTGGGAATGGTAATCCCACTGCTTCCCTGGGCAGCATGTTCCAATACTTCATCACCCTTTCAAGGGAAGAAATTTTTCCTAACATCCAGTCTAAACCTACCCTTGTACAGCTTGAGGCTGTTACCTCTTGTCCTATCACAGTTTTACTTGGGAGGATAAGATACCAGCCACCTCCTCACTCCGTTCTCCTTTCGGGTAGCTATAGAGAGTGATAAGGTCCTCCCAGTCTCTTTTTGTGTCTGTGTACTGTGGAGTGACAAGTCCAACTAGCTATGTGTCACTACAAAAAGCAGTAGGTGAAGTTGTTAAAATTGAAAAAGTTCACATGTGCAGTTAGCAGGTGTCTTTTGTATGAAAGCATGGCATTATCGTCCTTTTCTAAAGCTTACATGAGTATATTTGATCATTCTGGGTTTAACGTGCAAATTCTTGAAGTTAATTTGTTGATTTTTTTTATTTTTTTTTATCCATACAGCTGATAGCAAAAGGAGTAAAGAATCCTAATGTGCCTTTTCATGTGGGAGCTGCAGAACACAGTCCTGTGCATGGACTACAAGAGCCTGAACCAGCTGTTCCTAAACCACAACTTCCAGCAAAGCCCAGTACACCAGTCATCTCCATGACTTCTGCTTTGAAGGAAGTTGGTGTGGTAGGTACTTTTGCTAAGAGGGTAAAATTAATACAAAGAATTGATTTGAGAAAGAAAAAAAAGGTTTCTTAGAGGTAATTTTTCATTATTTAAGTCTATTAATATTTTCAAGATTATTTTTTTATGACATACTCTTTTAATTTTTATTTTATGCTGCTTGAATTTAAAGGATGAAAATGCAACTGCTATCCAGGAAGTTGAGGAGGAAACAAAAAAGGCAGGTTTTGCAATTCAGGTATGTTGAATTGCATTCAGTTTCATTTTTCTTTTCCTTTAAGAAAGGTACTATTTTAAGTGATATATATTGGCCCTTATTTCAGAATAAACGTGAAATACTGAGAAGATTAAATCAAAATCTTAAAGCTCAAGAAGATGAGAAAGATAAAAAGGAGTGTCAGAATATCTCTGAGTCAGCTGGGTCTGAAGATGGAAAGGAGCAAGAAGGTGACCAGCCAATTCTAGGAGATCGCAAAAAATGGAAATCTGGAGCATCTGAATTGGTAGTTCCTCTAGCTCAGTTAACAATGGAAGATTCACTCTCTGGAACAGATCGTAAGTACTTTTGTTTGCCACCATGATATTAGTAAATCATTTTACTATGTGTAGCATCTGTTTTATATAAAGCAAGTACTCTTACCTTGTTAGCACTCGTATGTCATCTGCCCCTAAGAAATGAGTGGTTATGTATTCCCTTGGATATGGAGTAAGGGACAGGCTGAGTAATTAAATGGCTTGCAGGAGATTCAGCAATAATTTCCTAATTTCAACAGTTATCTAATTAAATGCATGTTTACTTTCTTTGAACTTTCTGTAAGTGACATTTAAATGGGCACTAATTTAACAGAAGCACTGCAGATACATGAAAGTTTCTTACAATAAAAGCTGAGGGTTTCCTCAGTTTATATCTGTTACTTCTGTTGTGCCCCTAGCTTTTTTCTTCTTTTAAATCAAGCCTGTCTTTTCCAATTTTCTGCATTCTCTGACCTTTTGGGGGGAAGACTTTTTTTCCTGGGTTTAGTGTGTCATATTAAGGGTCTGTTTCACATTGTAGAAATAAAAATCATTAAGAATGTGACAAGCTTACTTCATAGCATAATAGTTTTACACAGGATGTTGAAAGATCAAGAAGCTTCTTTTGCCCTGTTCTTTGTTGCTTTATATGCTCTGTTTTCCTTGAAGGGAGAAATAACAGAAACAAACGTCAAAAGGTTAGCAGGGTGAAAAACTTTCTAGTTTCCCATTTCAGGTAAAGTTAAGACCACCTCATGCCAGATTTAAACAGGTTGGGTTTTTTTCATTTAGTTTTCTTTTGGAGCACTTGAATTGCTGAAAAGATCTCCTGCTGCTATTAAGTTGCAGATGTTAATACTCCTACTATTAAATGGAATTGGCAGAAAAAAACTGTAGACTTACGAGCACAGCCTTTAGGCTGTCTGACATGGTTTGAGGTGACATGAGTTCTGACTTTGTAGGTTTTAGTTTTGTGGAGGTTGTTTGTTTATGATATAGAAAGTGAATAGAAGTTTCTCATTTCTAAATATTTCTGTATTTGTGTTTGTGTCCCAACAGGTCAAACTCTGGGGGAAGTAATTAGATTAGATATTGGTGAACCCCACAGAAAAATGTGGGGCAAAAGCCCTACTGATTCAGTCCTGAAGATCCTAGGACAAGCAGAGTCACAGCTGCAAACTGACTTACTTGAGGAGCTAGATGTAGTAAGCGGTAAGCACAGCTAGTAATTATCTGCACAGCAAGTGTAGGGAGTGCCAGATTGACACTTAGTCTACTGAGAACAATTTTGAAGTTATAAAAGCATATTCTGTCCTCTCTCTAGCTTTCCACTTCTGGATGTTGCCTCAGTTCTAAATGTCAGCACAAAGTGATACTGGAAGACACCAAAATATTTCAAACTCAGTGAAATGCTAAGAAACTAAGAAGGATGTGCTTAAAGGGAAGGATTTTCATTTTGTTGAAAAGCCCTGGAATTTGCTTATTGATAGAAACAACCCTGCTTTTTAAAAGGATATTATCAACTGAATATTGGATTAGATAGGTCCTATAATCTTCTTGTTAGCATGTGACTTACCATATAATCGGATGATTTTTTTTTTTTTTCTGGTCAATTCTTGCCTTTTTTTTTCCTTTCCAAGGGCAAAAGGACTTAAGCTTATTTCAAGTATAAACTTGTACTAATGATAGTGCAGCAAGTAAAAAGCAAATTTTAATATTTCTAGCTTTTCATAATAGTTACAATAAAAGCATGCAGACTATTCTGTTCTCCTTTAAAGCAACCAAAATTCTCAACTTTCCTTGTATCCACATTGTAGTTTATTATCAAACTGTGTCAAAGCACTGTTTAAATAATAGAATAATTTTGTGTTAGGTACTGCTGAACTTCTTGAAGGAGGTCATCAGTCCTCATCGGAGCAGAAGGAAGAGAAAGCTTTTCCTGCTGTTGGAGCTCAGTCTTCAGTACCGGTTGGTGTCACAGAGTCTGACATGACTGTACCGGAAGAATCTCAAAATGCTGGAGCTACTCAGGTGCAGAACAAACCTATTATGCTGGATGGTAAGTAGTTTCATTAGTAATTCTAATTACAGACTGTTTTCTAGTTCAGTGGAGGAAGTAATGATCCTGTATACTTTTATGTCTTCCCATAAGTAATGTGCAGGTCTTCATTAACACCTTCTAGGTAGGACCGAGTGCTTTCTGTGCCTATGTTGTAATTTGATTCACTAACATATTTTGTAAATTTCCAGAAACCTTTTTTGTGTGCTTATAGAAAACTCTAGAACACAAGTGGAATTCTGAAGTGCTTCATATTTTTTTGTTGGTGGGGAGGGGAGGATTTTGTTTGTTTCTCCCCATCAGTTGTGCTGGAATCTTTTCCCCTGTATGACATCCTGTGCTGACATCTAGGGGAATGTTAATGAAGTTTTTAGAAGACAGAGTTTGTTGGAGCTTTAAGACGCCCTTCTTATATAAGGAAAAAACTTTTATCTCCAGGGTTACAAAACTTCAGTTTTCTGCAAAATATAGAAAATTATTAAAGCTGAAGGTTTTAAGTGTAATCTTAAAATGTATATTCTCTCCTGTCCTTTTGTTTGGTTGTAATTCATTTTTAATGAGGTATATGACTTAATTTTAGAGCCTGATGATTTGGAAGCAGAGATGTTGGAAGAAACGGAAGACAAAAAGCACCAGAGTAAGGAGAGCAAGAAATTTCCCATCACTGTTAATGAAGTGTGGGTAAAAGAGAAAGAGGATAAGTAAGTGCTCTCTTCTTCTGATCCCCCTCCCTCCAGTTCAAACAACTAGCTTTAACTGAGTAGGATTTACATGCATCAGTTAAAATGTTATGCTTAGTAAAGCTTCACTCTTGTCTGCCATGTTAGTTTTACTGCCCTTGGTGACTTTTTCAGTGGACTAATGACTATTTTTACATGGTGTTTCCCACGGATGTGGTATTTTATAATAGGGGACCACATGACAGAAGAAATGAGGCAGCTTCTGAGAAACTAGCGCTTGACAAGGTGCAACCACCAAAAGAAGCTCAAAAAGGTCAGTTGAAGTCTCTTCTTTATCATAGCTGGCAGTGTGGAGTACTTGAGCCATCCCTTCTCATTTCCTCACTCATCCCAAAAGAGCAGGTTTTCTACTTTCATTTTTCTTTTTTAGTTCTTACTTCTAAAAAGCAGATTTCTCATAGATTAGGAAGACAAATGGTGGATGTTATTTTTGCTGCTTTAGGAGGAAACGTAACAAAGCTACACTGTGCATCAATGAACAGGACAGTGGCCCACACTGAGACTTGAAAGTGAATGTCAAGTTTCTGAATGTTAACATCCTTTTAAAATGACTATTTAAAATGTTATGGAATCTGATTATTTACTTAACACTGTTGCTTTGTTTATCAGTCATAGCAAATTAATATTGAGCTGCAGCTTGGATAAGAAAAGGTTTAAGCAGCTGCTAATGATAATCTCTTATCTTTATTGCATAGAAGAATTGCTTGCTCTTAGAGGTCTTTAACTTCAGAAGGTCTGCATACAGAAAGTGCATTGGCAATATTGTGAAGTATCAGTGATACTATTGCATCTATTTATGGGTGGCTTAAGCAAACTGGGGTGTTTTCAGTGTTTGGGCAAATTATGTTGAGGTAACTTTGAAGAAATCTAGTATAAGGCAAAAAGCAACATGAAAATGGATGACACCATAACTTCAGGCATGGACTGGATAAGTGAGAAACTAGAAGGCTTGAGAAGACAACAGGCTATAGCTGAATGCTGTATATTCCCAAGAAGTTAAAATGGGAGGAGATTTTAATACTTTTACAGTGCTATCTATTTTCCCCTTTAATTATACAACAGAAGTTTAGTTAGTTTTATACACTTTAGTTACCTTTTACTTAAGAGTTTGGGGGTTTTAATCTATTTAGATTTGTAATAGACTTCTTTTTGCCACATCAGAAACTTGTTCCAGTGATTCTCTGCAACCAGAACCCTTATTCCAGAGGGTAATACAGCCCACAGCTGTACCAACAGACTCGCCAGTTCTGTCAGCTCAGTCTTCACAGGAAGAGCCTTTTGTACCTCGTTCACATTCCATATCACCAGCAAAAAATAAAGGCAAAAGTTCATTGTTGATTGGACTTTCTACAGGGCTTTTTGATGCAAATGACCCAAAGGCAAGTTTAAAAAAACTAAATACTTGTTTTTCTGTAGTAATGTTATTCTAATTTATTTCTGAGACCAGAACAGATGGCATAACTGTTTCAGCAGGTGCTTGTGTTTGTCTACCTATGTCTGCCCTGCAGTAGGACTGCTGTGTTCATTTTTATCAGCAGGACTTGAACAGCAGTGAGAGACTCCAGTTTCACCATTTGGCATTCTGCGTCCAGGTGTTCGTGGAGGAATGCCACCACTTCTCTGAGACATAACTGAGGGAGTTCATGAGGAATTTCCTAACTTTCTGCTTTCTCCCTTTTGTGCAGTTTTTAAGACTTAAGCTGCCTTGTCATCATAAACATCCACACTGAACAGATCAGCAGAGGTATCTTATAATTTCTTGCAACCAGGTGATTGCGTTTTTTCCTACAGGATTTAATCAACCAGCACAGGTTCTGGCTGTGAAGCAGGAAAACTGAAGAAGAGGGAATGGAACCAACTGCTTCTTGAAGTTGTTTCCTGATCAGCTACATAGGGTTGAGTGGCAGCTCACAGTCTATGAAATGAGCATAGGATGGTGGAATGTGGTTTTGATATGAATTTAAAATGTTTGAAGGACAGTTACGGAAGTAGTAGATGAAGCAGACTTCTTAAGTTACGTGCAATACTTGCCTGGGTTCTAAAGTGGAAAGTGCATAAAAGAGCAGCTGCTTTTTGGAGAACCAGTGGTGGCAAGGACTGTCTGGAAAACTGCACAGCTGTGTTGTGATCAGTCAATATGTAGTAAAGGATTTCCTGGATGGTGGAATGCTGGATAAAGAAGAATGTTTCTTCTTTCGACTCCTAGCCTTTTTGTGAGTGCATGAAAGCTGCACTATTGATGATTGAATATTGAATAGTACCTGTTGGTTGATGCATAGCTAGGAAGCATAATATCAGGGATATTGCTGCTTACATGTGTGGGGAAAATACGGCTTATTGACAAGCTTGCATCTGTTCTCATAGATCCATATAGTCACCTAAATGGATTTTTTTACTCTAATTTTGATTCCTCAAGAGTTAGTCTGTCATTAATTTCCCTAGTTCATGAAGCTGTTTATCAGGCAATTAGACAATGATTACAGAAAAGCCAGCTTGTGAGCAGGGGGAAGATGAACATTCTTTGTACCCTTACAGATTTAGAAAGTAGTGGATATGCTTTATAATGAAGTGCTTAAGTGTATCAGTATGAACTGCTTCAGTATGAATCATAGAATCAGACAATGAATCGTACAATAGTTAGGTTTGGAAAGGACCTTAAGATCATCTAGTTCCAGCCCCCCTGGAGAAATACTAAAACGTAATTAAAAAATATTCCTTTCTTTGCTACTTAAAATGGTCCTAAGCTGTAAGTGATTGGCACATATACATTGTAAAAAATTTAATATATAGATACGTTATTTAGCTAATGCAATGTTCTTTTTCTTTTGATAGCCGTCAAGGTAATGAATAAATCTGCACAAACCCAGGATCTGTATGTCAGTTCTGGTGTCCTTAAAGCTTTTCAATCACTGTAACCTGTAGAGGCAGAAGGAATACTTTTCTTCTAGCTGAGAGGCAAAATGCAAGATGTCAGATTTTCAACAGCTAGAGTATCTGTGCTGGACACATTGTTAGTTTGAAATTGATCTACAAAAGAAAAAGGACAAAGTCTCATGTTCAAGTATTTTGTAACCTCAGGCTGTCTTTAGTATTGCTACCAAGCAGGTTCTCTGTTGCCTTTGCAGCTGTTGAGAACATGTTCGCTCCCAGATCTTTACAAGCTGTACAGAACCTTAGTCGATGTTCCCAGTGTAGCAGATGTGCGGCATCACCATAATCTTGAAATAGATGATACGGAAGATGAGCAAGCCAAAGAAGGACCCTCTGATTCTGAGGATATGTGAGTGCATCAAGTTTATCAAGTATTTCTACAGGCATCTTAGATCCAGAAAATTTTTAGTTAGACACTAATGATTACACACAGTATGCCAGCGTGGGGATTTTACCTGAAATTTTTAAATCCTGTATTGAGGCACCATTTACTTCGAGTCCTGTTCTAGAGAACTGAGAAGCTAACGGGATGTACTGCTTCCAATAGCTGTCTGGATTATGCTCCAGATTCCATCCACGGTGCTGTTCCATCTGGCTTCTGCACCTTGTGTTCTGCTGAAGCAGATCAAAGTTTATGGCTACCACTCTTCTAGAAATAAAATTTTACTTTCTTGAGTATTTCCTTTATTTATATGTTCTGGGAAACTCGCTCACCTACCTTCTCTACTCTTTGAAGCTCTACAGGGACTTCAAAATCTGACCCTGGCTCTTGACTGTTCCCTGCAGCTTGGGATCTGGTGCCTATTCTGATAAGCTCTAGATCTCTTTTTGTTCCAGACACATTTTTATGTGGGTTAGCAATGTTATACTTACCAGGGTTCTATAACAGTGTACAATACAATGATTTCGAAGTTATCTTACTAATACGTTACAGCACATCTTTTTACAATGTGGTATCTGTTTATCTAATCCCTATTCCCTTGCATGATACAGTGGTATCAGTGCTGTAATCATGTTGGACTGAGGACACCCATATTTGCATGCTTTCCCCCAGCTACAATGGCTTTCCAGCTTGTTGGCTTAACAAAAGAAATGAGCTTTTCTTACAGGGTTGGTCTTATAAAATATGAACTTCGTGAATTTTATATCGCTTTCCTTTAGTATGTTTGAGGAGGCAGATCCTGATCTGCAGGAACTCCGGGTGTCAATGGAGCAATTGCTTAGGGAGCAGCCTACTGAGGAATTCAGTGAAGAGGAGGAATCCACTTTGAAGGCTAATGTCATCGAATGCATAACAAATGGTACAGAGCTGGATGAAGGAGATGAAAATAACCCCAGCAGTGAAAGTGCACTTAATGAAGAATGGCAATCTGGTATAATTTCTTTACACCTATTTATTGATGTTAGCAATTCAAACGTGGAAGAATGTTTTTGCATTGTATACTTATAATGAAATAAAGCTGTAGTTAATAGGTTTGATACTGAAGTTTAAATACAATAATATTTAGATTTTCAGTGTTGCAAACTAGATTGTCTATTTATTAGGCAGTGATTGGAAGACACTTTTTCTCTAGTTGTCTAAAACTTCAAGGAAGATTAAAGACTGTGCAAATCATATGTTTTGAATAATTCAGGACCGCAATGTAAGAGTGCAAAAGAAATGGCAGTTGACATGACTGGAGTATCTGGGATCCAGCTTACATTACAATGAAGTAATTTAACAGGCAGTCAAAAGGAACATGAAATTATTAATCTTCTTGTTAGCCCAAAATAGCTATTAATGCAGTCAAAAAAAAAAAAAAAGTATGAGTGCTTTTAGCATTTTGCATTAGCTATACACTATGGTGTCCTGAAATCTCAGTTCTGTCTTTTAAATTCTGGTTGAGATAGAAGTGGTTTACTACTGGTATAAAATAAAGCACATTTGGAAATGTAGTATAAAAAGATGTAGAAAATCAGCAACTAATCTAAAACACAGCTTTTGTGTAATTTTGGTTTGTTGATGACAATTTTAAAGAAATTGAAAATCTGTGACTATATCTGCAAGATATTACCTGTATAATACATTGCAGTAGTATTTTAAGATAAAATAAATAGCGTCTTTCATTTTTTGACAGTGCTGCTGTTACACTTCGGTAACATACAATACCTCTGTTTCTGTGATCCTGCTGTTGTTGCAAGCATTATGGTTATTTGGTATCAGTGTCCCACTTTCTACTTTCACAGCATTTCATAAGAATTGCAGGTTTTGTTTAGTTGGGATGAGGAGGAAGGTCTTCAGACCTCGGTGGAATGGACAGCACTCAAAACCAAATCTGGTCAAGATCCAGAAGTTAAATATAGGATTAGAAGTCGTCTAATGAGTTTTTAATCCGTATACAATTTTTCATTCTTTTTATTTCAATTATAGTTTCTTATGGGTGTATTTGTTCACATTGTGAATTGGGAATACAATTTGGTCAGGATTATACCTTACCCTAGTCACATAGCAATTGAAAGTAGCACTAGTTCTTAATACTAACTCACAAATTCTGTGACCTACCAGGCAATACTATTTGATAATATCAAATATCAAAAGATTTGATAATATCAGCTCTGAAATCTAAAAAGTTGTATATTTTTTGTATATTTTTTTCCCTGGGTAGGTAAGTCCTTTCGTAATTCAACTATTTATTTAAGAAAGTATTTTTCTTGGGTGAAAACAGTTGGCATTTTATAATAGGATTTCACATAGGGATTCTGTGGGATCCTATTGCATAGGGATTTTACATAGGGATTTTTAAATAGATCCTTTTTTTGTTAAACTTAATATTTGACTTACAATAGGTTATAAATTTTCTGTAGCCTATAAGCAAAATCATGTTGATTTCCCTCATGTACTGGCATACTGAATTTGCTACGCAAAGGAGATGCACCCAGAAAAGAATGAGGGACTTTGTAGCTAAATTAGTACTGGTTTTTTAGACTTGCTTCAAAGAACAAGATGCATCTCAGTGCAGAAATGAAGTAACTGATTCTTAAGACATGTGTTAAGACAGCTGCTTCAGAAAGGACCTCTTCTCCCAAGCATGGGACAGCCACCAAATCCTGCATCAGTTCCACCTCAGAAATAATGTGGGATGTCTATATGGAACTTGACCTAACAACATTGGTTTGCTAAATAGAAGTCTGCTTTAAGACCATACCTTGTTTTCCTTCAGTAAAATACCCTTGTGGGTTTTTAGAGGAGATAGCTAGAGATTCAGAATTTCTTAGCTGTCAGGAAAAGGACTGTTCCTACTTCCTTGCAGTTGTCTAGCGTTCCTGAGCTTACCTGATTGCATTACATTTAGAGGCCTGTGTGGATAATCGTGTTTAGGGACACAGAAACAACATTAAGAATGCAGAAAAACAGAGCAGTTTTCACTGTTGTTTTCTTTCTTCATAGATAATAGTGATGGAGAGATTGCCAGTGAATGTGAAGAATGTGATAGCATCTTCAGCCATTTGGAAGAGCTGAGATATAACCTGGAATGTGAAATAGGCTTCGATAAGTTCATTGAAGTTTATGAGAAAATCAAGGTTTGTAGAAAATATGTTAAGAAACACGTACCTAGGGCTGTTTACTGCGCCAGTGACTAACTGCATTGTGTGACTAGAATTGATGCTTATGTCTTTAATCTTTTATTCTGTTTCAACACACTAAAATATTAACCAAGAAAATGCCATACTATTGAATTACAGAGAAACTTTGGGTTTAACCGTGAATTGCGTTTAGTGAATCTGAACTACTTAATTCTATGCCCATTTTCATTTTGGCAATGTGGATTGTCCTTTCTCCCAGGCTATACATGAAGATGAAGATGAAAATATTGATATTTGTTCATCCATAGTTCAGAATATTCTTGGAAATGAACACAAGCATCTATATGCCAAAATACTTCACCTAGTAATGGCAGATGGAGCCTACCAAGAAGGTAATCTCTGGCAATTACAGCTCATCTTGCGCTGTTTCTTGGTCATACACTTTAGGTTCTGACATACTTTTAAAAACATACCTGTGCTTTGTTATAGTGATTGGCTAAATTGGTAAAAATACTCTTTTTCACAAAAGGTATTCTTATTCCTGCAATAAAACATGGCAAAGTTTGATATAGCACGCTACTCAGTCTGATTTCACAGCACATACACATGCAGTCAACTCTAACAATAGGTGTCTAGGGTGCACCTACTGCACCACAATAGGGAAGGTGCAGTATAATTATTTCATATCTGTAAAATAGTTATGCAAACTGGGAAGATGGAAGTCTAGAATAAAACTTTCAGAATTAAAAATAATTTATCTTAATTACTTAATTTTTAGCTAAATAATATGGTACTTCTCCAAAACTATTTTTAATGGCTTGCAATGTTTCTGAAAAGAAAATTTCATGTTGCTTCTTCTCCTGTAACTGTCATTTTCAGAAAAAACCTGATGTGGAGGTACCATCCATCTTTGTTTTCAACTGGCTCAGTGATACATTTATTTATCTTGCAAGCCCTGCCTAGCATATCACAGGTTACTAGGCACACAGTTAGTTCCTGGACCTTTCAGGGTCACTCTGTGAAATATCACACATGATATTCAATGAAAAATGGTTTTGGTATGGTTCTTTTCCTCTTATGTCAAACATTTAACTGCAGTTAGGTAATTTTAGATTTCTAATGATGAAAGTTTTCACTGGAGAGGTTAAAATGAAGAAATCTAAAATCTCAGTTATTTTTCTAGAAATCAGAATCATTATACATTGGTTTTAGAAATGTGTGCAATGATGTGCACTATTTAATGTGTTTCATTATTGAGAAAACATTCTAATACATGTTAACCAACATTTCTGCATCTTTTAAGATCTTTTACAAAAGTGTTGCAGTAACAGTGAATAAAGGGTCAAATAAGATGACAGCTTTCTATGAGTTTTATATATTAATGTATCAGGGGGAAAAGGTCTTAAAAACTAGTTTTATAAAGATAGTTAAAAAATTGCTAATACAAATTGCATTTTCCCAATTTTATTTTGCAAATGATATAGAACCACTCAGTAAGAATAAGCAATGCCATGTTCGTTGTATGCTGTGTTATAGAAGTATGACACAAAAGTGTCTGAAAAATATTTTTTTAGCAACAGTTTATTGATTTAATGACAGACTTGGAACAATGTATTATAGAAGTTAGTTTTTCAAGTGTCCAAAGGACTGGCAATATAGAACAAGAAGAAAATGGTAACTCTAGTGTTACCAGTCTCTTGCCACTTTACCTTAAGGCTATTTTAAAACTAGTACTAAAAGGCTTAAATGCTAACTTGCTGAAACACTGGCATACCAATTGAAAACTAAGTGAACCCTATTAAAATGAGCTTTCATCTTGCAAAATGCAGATTAATAGGTGGCTATTTTTAATAGCTTCAGTTCCAACTCTGTTTTTCACAAATTGGTGGTAGCATACAAAAATCTATGTGAAAGTAGTTCTTTACATTTCAGACATTTAAAGTACATGTAGTACTTTAGTACTGAAGTAACATAAACACTACATTTAAAGTAGTTCTTTAAATTTCAGACATTTAAAGAAAAAATGTTATACTAAGATGAATAGAGGACAAGTGAGTCACAAGCATGTTTGTGGGCTTCTGTCTCAAAAGTTTTGTACTCTTCAAATAAGAAAAGCTAGGGGGGGAAAATCTATGCTGCTCTTTACTAAGGATTGTTCTAACTGAGGCAGGCTGCTTGAGGTGAAACTACCTTAAATTCACTAAGATGACATGTTGCTCAGTGTTTGCACACAGAGTGCTTTCAAGGCAGTTTGGGTAACAGTCACCTCCTTGGTGACTGAGTTGGTGAAATCTGGTACTACTGCTTACTAAATTGTGGTTTCTAATCTGTTTTGTAACCCCAGCTTGATCTGCTCTGTGTGTTTGTTGTTCCTTTTCACCCCGTCTCTCCCCTGCTCCTGTTTTTTACAGATAACGATGAATAAAACCTGACTCAGGAAACCCCCTAATGTTGTACTACATAGATCAGTGTTTGAAGCCTGCACATCTGAATAACAAATTTTAATGGAGAATGTAATATGGGACAGGAGAAGCAAGACTTCAAAAAAACAATGTCAGTTGTATGAAAAAGAGGTAAAACATGCCTTTTAAAACTGAGACATCTATACACCTGTGTACTCGCATATGCAGTCATTAAATACTATAGATGCCCAAAATTGAAGAAAAAAATGAAACTAAAAAAACCCCCCTCAACAAAACCAAAAAAACCCCAAACCTCAATGTCTGAAATTCCAAAAGAAATATAGAAAGGAATACCTATAGATATTCTGATACGAAACTGAGACCTATAATGTAAAAACAGCTTCTTGCCATATCAACAGTTGGCTGGTACAGTTAAGCAATTGGAAGCATTGCTGTGCTGTGGAAGTACCCACATCTACCTGTTCAGTTACATATTTACAGTAGCCTCTCTTTATACCTACATAAAGAAATTATTCCATTTTTATTGACTTTTGGGGTTCTGTTTTAGTAGCCTCTTGATCTAGTGGCCCAGTCTTGAGTATGTCACCTTTTTCCTAATTAAAAAATTAGTGTATTTTGAGGCTGAAAGCTGCTGTCACATCTGGAACATCTTAATGGTGTGTCTAAATCAAGGCAAACTGGTACTTCAGTCATTTAAATGTCTGGGAATTTTTTGTGATTATAAAATTCATTTAGAACTAGAATACTTTTTTCCAATATTTTTATCTTCCCTGTCCCCAACCCCTTCCCAAGTTCCCAAGTATTTAGCTCTTTTGACTTTTGTAATCAATGATAATATATTCTGCTGTTGAAAGGAGTAGTTCATTTTCCAGTTTGTTTTTAAATTCTTCCTGTTACACTCCTGGCTCCAGCAGCCGTGGCGGAAATGAAGTACTGCAGCACAAGTGCTAGGTAATAGTTCTTATCTTTGGGCTCATGTATCATAGCTTGCTTTCCACCACCCTGAAAGAAAAAACGGGTTTCTTCTGACCTGCATTTCCTTGTTTCTCCTGTCAAAACAGTACTGTGTGGGGCAGACATTAGGTATGCTGAAGTTCTCCAGTCATCTCCAGAACAGCTTTATTTGCTTACCCACACAGTAAGTCTCTTGTTATAAATCTGATGAACTATCAAACTTCCAACTGCACTGTTGGAGAAAAATAAAGATATTTTTAATTTTTTTTCAGCTACAGCCAGTCACAATCTAAAACTGCACAAGTTCCTTTTCCACCCAAGCATATATATATATATATATTATTTTGAGCTGTCTAAATACATACATGATTTTTGTATAATTGTTTTATGGTGTTGGTATTAAAGTTTTGCCCACTTTAAAGTGGTTTGTTTGTTGTTTTTTTTTAAACATATTGAATTCTTAAAGTTTGGTCTACCTCTGCTTCAACTGTATCCTGGGAAGCTGCAATGCGAATAAAAAACAATAATCATAAATGCCTTTATTAGATTAAATTTATATATCTCCTCCTTTACTTGCTAAACACCTCTTGCTTCATCTGATGAGAAACTGTGGTCGTTGTTGGAAACAGAGCTGGTTCTGTCCTATGCTGCTTCGCTTCTCCTGCCCCTTCCTTCTTTTGCTTTAAGGTTTTGCTTTGGGTTTTTTGGGGGAGAGAGGGTTTGTTGTTTGTTTTTTGGGGGGTGTCTTTAACTTCCAACAGTAAATTTGAGGGGTTTTCACTAGGCTTCTCTTCCATTCCAATTTCACTCCTGAATAATCTATGCAGAGAAATGATCCTCATAAGCTACATCATCCATGACATTTAGCAAATATGCTCTGTAAAGGCTTTAATAAAGAATGAGTTTGCATTATTTTCCTTTTTCAGGTTTGCTTTTCAAATCATACATTTCCCACCTTTTGGGAGAAGGGAAGAGCCAAATCTTTTAGCTTTTAGAGAATGTACATTAACCATATAGGAAGAAAAAACTACTAATGGCTACATTCTGCATGCTGTGCGTTTGAATTTTATCAAGGTGAAACAGCCTTGCTGAAGTTAAGGGTTGGAGGGGTGTTAAACTGGAATCATACCATAATTGACATGCTTTATTTCTTATGCAGTGCACTTGCTTGCTTCTGGTAAAAAAAAAAAAAATGGAACTTGACAGACATAGAGCTTTTCATCAATTAATGGTTGAGCACAGCTTTTCAAGAATAATCTTCACACCTGCCACCCAATAGTGGACAGCCTTGAAATCCCTCCAGAGCTAAATTAAAACGGACACAGTTAAGTTTAGCAGACAAACTTAGTAAGATCGCATTCAGTATACACACCCCCAGCCTGCGCCAGGTGGCAGCATAGCAGCGGGCGCAGGGGTATATAGCACTCGCTTAGTGGATAACAAGCCTTTTTTAGCCTTTTACATAGAGCTCAGTTTCTCATCTGTCGTTCATGCAGTCATTGCGCCCCTCTTCCTGGGGGATAGGAGAGGGCATAGTTTGTCCAGTTTCCCCAGGTGACCAGATGCAAATTTACATGAAACAAAATAGGACCCTTTTAGCAGAGATGTAATAGTGCATGGGATTTGGCTCTTACCTTTCTCCCAGCCAAGGGTGGATAGAAGCGTGCCCTGATTACACTGCTGGTTTGGCTTTTTTCTCTCCACCAAATGCACCTCATCAACACTCAAATGAGGTCCGGCTCTACTTAGTTTTATTAACTGCAGTAAAGCAAAGATGAATATAAACACTTGAGTTTTCAATCCTTTTACATGGTTTTCTTCCCAAGTAATTGTGTGCTTTCTCAAGTCTTATTGTAATGCTTTTTCATTTGTGAGCTCTGTAGACTAAAACTTAGCATAAAACTGAAACTAGGGGCTTCTATTCCCAGAACATTTCTCCTTGCTTCTTTTATCACAGCAGTTTCGATGGAGCTGTTTGCAGAGTTTAAGTTTTAAAATCCATAAAGAGCTTCTTCCTTTAAATTAAATGTGTGCATTAATGCAGTACACAGTTCAGATGCATTTCCAAGTTGGTACGTTTTCCAGCTGAGCTGATGAGTTCATCAATTCAGATAGTAGCACTTTGAATGGTTGGTTTGTGTAAGAGTCTTTAAAACACTTCTTCAGCAACTAAAACCTTGATTGAACTACTGCTGTAGATATGTTAATGGTAGTTACTTGTGAGACACATATACAGGCATTCAGTCGCTCCTGCTAAATTGCTTGCCTTGAGCACCTCTGATGTCGTGCAGTCTTCCACAATTTTATTTCCAAGACATTTTTAAACCAAGATGGGATTCAGCTACTTCCATTAACTCTCTTTTTAATGACACAGCTTAAAAACTCACAGAGCCAAGGACTTGGGAGTTTTTCCATGTCAGCTGCACAGCAAATGCCAAAAGCAGGCGGGCTGCACAGTGGGACACCTCCAGTGAGGCAGCATTTGCTGGGCTCCAGGATGGCTGTGACAGCTCTTTTACAAGTCATCCCTGCAGCTGACTGTATCCAGTGTGGGGCTGGAGCGTTGGTGAGTCACTTCTGCTCAGGGATGGATGTTCCCTTAGGGACCACAGTCAGCCAGGAGAAAACACAGTTTGGTTTTAAATAGCGATGTGGCTGAAGCTGATGCAGACATGCTCTGAGGATAATGGAACCATCATCATCAGGTCTTTGATGTACCATGGTTTTTGCTGTATCCTGCAGACAGTCCTGACAGTAATCTCCAGGGGAAGAAATGAAGTATGCATTTTTGTTGTACCCTTGATATAGGAATAAACTTCCCACAGACTTAATTTTTAGACAAAACCTCTGGAGTACATTTTAAATCTGTAGCAATACTTCAGGGATGCTGTTCTTTCTATCACCTTCCCCACCAGCAATCGAAAATTCTCACTGCTGTTTGTTTTATTACTACTAGAATTATTTTAAATGCTATCAGAGTAGTTTTGCAAAAGTAAGGTATGCAGCCTTTTTCTGAAGAAGTGATTGATTTGATGTGGATGCAGAGAGACAGAAAACCTGAGACGCCATTAATGATGAGCTAGAGCTGTACTGTGGAGCTATACCAACATGGCCACTGCTTAAAAAGTCAGGCTCTGTTTTATAAACTGCTGTAGCTCTTGTACTGCTCTAAATTCCATTTCTTTCTCCCTACTGGACTGTAACAACTCTCAAGAAAGATGTCTAGAAGACAGTAATAAAATGCATCTAATTTGCTGTTACTGCAGCACCCTTAGTTGATCCTTTCCCACTGCCGTTAGTTTTGATAACTTACATGCAATATTTTAGTCTTGCTCTTCAAGCTTTGCCAGATGAAATCAAAAGGTGAAGATGATGGCAGTTTAGCTTCTCAATAGAGTAAATTTGGACTTAATGCTGGATATACTTTCAGGGGTTTTAATTCTAAGAAATAGTATATTTTATTTTTTCATGTTTAACTATTTTAATTTGTTTCATAATGTTTTATAACAGTTTTAATGTTTTGCAACATATTAAAAAAATTAATATGTTTAATAGCCTTATTTAGTAGATCTCTATTTTACTGTTCATACAACAGATATATGGAGAATTATTTCCACAGCAGTAAAACATCTCCTATGGGATTTTTGGCTATGAATAATATACCATTTTTTGTTTCAGCTGTTGAAAAGCCTGACTGCAATAAATTGTATATCCTGTTCCACCCTGGACTTTAGTACATCGGTTAATGATCACAGTGCCCTGAATAACTTAGCTCACTGTACTCAGTTCACTGCTGTGCCTCCTTTCCTCAGATGACCACTTCTGCCTTCTCTACATTGGGCAATCATGTTTGACCAGGAAGAGACTCCAGTGAATTCTGACTCTTAACAGACAGCATGGTTAAGCACTGCCAGTTGGGAAAGGGAGCACAGTTCAGCTCTGGCCAGCAACCTCTGCTAACCATGCAGTGACACTGCAGTAACTAGTTAACTAGTCTGCTCAGACCAGTAAGGGATGGATTCTCCACCATAAATACCAGTATCTAGCCATATATACAATATATAGTATCTAGCCATATATACAATAGTGGAGCATGTCAGATGGATGAGCATGTCAATGGATGAGCATGGTTATAAAGCCTCCCTCCTCCCAGTAAAACTTAAAGCAAGCTTGAATCAAATCCCAGTGTGATCTGATTATCAGGACCAGCAGAATAAAACATGTGCCCACCCTCATGCTTTGGCACAAAGCCTAACGCCACTGATTAAACCGCTGAGAAGGTGGGTTTGAG